TCCCGATATTGTTTACGTTTGACGTATTTATACGTCCCGCTCGGTTAACAGGTTAAGGACCCACCCCACTAGGTTAAGCTGAAGATGCTTGCTGAATACCCAAGTGGAGATGTCAAACAGACACTTGGCTGTGACTTGATCCCAGAGTGGGGTTCAGACTGAGGAAGAAAGTTTGGGAGGCGTCAACATAGAGATGGAATGCTTCTGTGCATCCTCCTGTCCCCCAGGTTCCCAATTCCTACGTAAGTCTGGACTATGGACGAGGCCAAGTGCTTGAGGCCCTCTGCAGCCAGCGCTGGGTGGAGGCTGGGGGGAGGGGAACGTTATGTTCTTGCGGTGGCTCCACTTCCCACTTGGGCACAGGGCATTCCACCAGCCCTCTCCCCTCGCCTCCCACAAACTTAGGGACTAGATGAGGATAACTGGCCTGCGTGGAAGACGTAGGACAGGACACCATTCCGCTGCCTTATTTTGCCACCTGACAAAGGAACCCAGATAGACACATGGACACCGAGGCACATCGCCCCGTTTCATTTTCTTTCTGTGTTGTTGCACTTGCTGCTGGGTGAACAAGCAAAAGCAGCCAGGTTCCCAGTGCCACCAGTTCCAACCACTTCCTCTCCCTACAGGACAGTTATTGGAGCATCACCCCAAAGTGACTGACAGTACTTTGTTACCCAAACCTGATGACCCCTCTTTTACACTTTTCTGTATTTCTTGGGAGGAAGGAGTCATTTGCTGTCATAGTTTTAACATCTGGGAGAAGAAAAAGCAAGAATGAGGTTGAACCTAGTATTTCTGAAAGAAAGAGGTGATCTCAGACCTCTTCCAAACCAGCAGGAAAGGCAGGGGAGGGAGCCCCAACTTGTCCAGAGAGAGAAGCGGAGAGGAGGAAAGATGAGGAGTTGGAGACCGATGCTTTGACCAAGAGTTCCAGTCTTTACGAAAATGGAAAGTGTCTATGTCCCTGCACCAGCCTCTACCTCCAAAAAACTCAGGAAGAGCCGGGAATCTGTGTTCCCCAAGAGCGCCCCAACATGAACACAGCTCTCCCACACTTATTACTCCTCCAGGATCCTATTTTTAAACCGGTCCTGCTGATTGTTGCATTCTCTCCATGCAGGCAAGGAAGCCCAGGGTCGGGCTGTGGGGTTGGGGCTGGGCGTGCACAGGAGTGTCTGGCTCCCTCTCTCCAATCCTGATGGAGCCGCTTGCACTAATTGACCTCCAGGGTCTCCCCCGTGCTAAGCCGGGTGTTTGTTAGATCTCGTTAAGCTGGTAATTAGTGCAGAGAATCTAGGTCAGAGGGAGCCGGTTGGAGTGATGGTCTCACGGGGCAAACATACAGGCAGGGAATCAGCAAACAGGTTCCTCGTTCTGTGGGTGCGGTGAGCCAGGGACAGGGAAGGGTGGGACTCAGACAGACACGTGCAGAAAAGCGTTCAGAACTCGTGTGTGTGTGTGTGTGTGTGTGTGTGTGTGTGTGTGTTCCCTCCCGTATTTACTTGGGTTTCTTTCCAATCTCTCCATATATGGTTTGGCTCTAGACCGAGCTGGGGATTGGCTGCTGTTGTTGGGAGACCGGGAGGTAGGAAGAAAGCAGAGAGAGAAATGCACCAGGCAAAGCGAGGGGGTGAGAGGAGGGAGGCAGCTGTAGCTGAGACCCAAGGATGCAGAAGGGCTGGGCTGCTTGCCTGTGAGGTTTAGAAAAAGGAGAGGGTCTTTGGGACTGGATTTTCATTTTGGGAGAATGTTGGAGAGGGGCAGGAGCTATTTCTCGGGGGTCAGAAGAAATCTTAACGAGATCTAACAAACACCCAGCGACAGCATGGCTCTTAAAGGCTGGAGCAGGAGTTAGAGAAACTCGTTGGGTCTCTCTCTTGTCCTCCGCGCCCCCTTTTTCTTTTCACCCTAAACAACCCATAACAATGCTGTGGAAATAAGGAAATTGCATGCAAATTAACTCATCAGCTTTCCAGATCAACACCTCAGGCAGTCTTCCTGATGGAGCAAGACCTGGACCGTTCCCCCAACCACTTAACAATTTAAAGAGGAAGAACAAGAAAAGCTGAGGAAATGCCACTGAGATCTGAAATGGCACTTGGTTCTTTGCCTGTCTCTGCCTCTCACCCGCTTGAACTCTGTCCTGGATCTCCTCCCCTCCCCATCCTAGGGCCTCCCAAATGATTTTCCCTTTTCCAGTCCAACAGGATAAGAATAGAATATAACAAAGTTGTGGAGCGAAAAGTGTGTGTGTGGGGGGCGGGGGGGTGGGGGTGGGGAGATTCTGGGGAGGGGAGAGAAATAGTATTCATCCTGAAAAATCTCTACTGGGAACTGTGTAGTAAGCAAGTTGTCCACATCCCCCCATTCCCTCTACCCATGTACCCCAGAATACAGTGACCAGGAGGCAGTAGGGAAACCACTGGGGTGGAGACACTGGGCTGATGGGGTGAGGAAGGAGGTGCTGGGTGGGGGGAGGGGAGCTACAGTGGCAGCATTATCGCCCCCAGGCAGAGTGCCCATGCTCAGTCTGTTAACAGAAATCATGGCAGCACCGCCACCACGGCCCACCTGAAGCTGGTTTTCCAGCCGGAAGCTTGGCTGTGCTGAGCTCTGGAATTTTTCTGCCGCTGGCCCTCAGCACAGTACCTGGGCACAGCCTGTGCACTGGGAGAGCTCCCGGACTAGAACAGTGACAGTGATTAACCCCGTGCCCCAGGCCTCATTCCAAGCTGCTCCGCCACCTGAGCTGGCTGTGCCTGGGCCACTGAGTCACGCTGATGGTAGCAACTGCCGCAGCCACAGCTGCCCCTTCACGAGTGAGTGCCAGAGGCCAGCTACCCACAGCCAGGCATCTCCCCCAGGCTGTGCCCATCCAACAATAACTCCGCCTGCAGACGAGAACACTCTCAGGAAGCTTGCGCTCTGCCCAGAGCCTCTTGTAACAAAGTCAGAATTTGAGTCCACATCTGTTTGGCTCCAAAATTTGGCTCATTTTGCCACCTTGTGATCTGGTTCTGGTGCCCGAAGACCCCAGGAGCTCAGTGCCCAGCTCTTGGTGGCCCAGGGCCCCCATCTTCCTTTTCTGCTTCCCCTCACCTGTCATCCTTCTTTCCAGTGTCTCCTCCGTCCTCTAATCCCCTTGGGAGCCACAGGTAACTGACATGTTGGGACATACATGCCATTCTTGCTCATGTCTTTTTCTTCATTACGTGGGAGCGACAGAGGAGGAAAGAAGGGAAAAGGAAATTTGTACGAAGATGGAGACTAATATAAAGAAAGTATGTTTTTTGTTGTTGTTAATCCTCACCTGAAGGTATTTTTTCCATTGATGTTTAGAGAGTGTGGGAGGGAGGGAGGGAGGGACAGGGAAACATCAACATGAGACACACAGATTGGTTGCCTCCTGCACCTGCCTCAACTGGCTCTGGGGATTGAACCTGCAACGCAGGTACATGCCCTTGACCAAGAATTGAACTGGTAACCCTTCGGTGGCAGGTGCTCGAACCACTGACCATGCCAGTCAGGGCAAAAGTATCATTTAACCTAGACTTTCAATATTTGTGACAAAGGCCTGCTGCCCATGCTTAGAGTTTAGGAGGGTGACTCCTGCTTGGAGGACAAAGCCCGGAAACCCAGATTCCCTCACCTGCTGCCCTGGCAGACTCTGGGGATGGCTTGTAGGTGGCACTCGCGTGCACTCCTCCCCTCGGTAGGCATGTTCCCAAGGAAGAGACTAGTGTAGGTAACCACAGGCCAGATCTTGGGAATCATGCCTGTGAGTGGCGGGGACTAAAAACAGCAATCTCTCCCCTAGAGAGAGTGTAACTTGGAGAGATTCCCCGTCTTGCTTGCATGGGTTGTGGGAGTGATAATGTCTGAGCAGAACAGGTACTGAAGGGTCTGTGTTTCATCCAAAGGTTTTACCTTCTCTCCCTCCTATCCTCCTGAATGTCAGTCACCTTGGGGCAGCCTCATAGCTGGGACCTGCCAGCCGACGTCCCATTATCCTCATTTCCGCCCCCTTCTTCCTTCCCACCCCTAAAAGCTCTAGGGAAGCTGACCAAGTGCCAAAAGTGTCAATACTGCATTTACTTGGTCCACGAGGCTCTGTCCTTCTTCCCAAAAATCACCCAAATCTGGCCTTCACAATTCTCCTCTGGACCTGACCTCTTGTTACTAAACCTGATCTTAGAAACGTCAGAGGAAAGAAGCCAACAGAATGAAGTGAGCTGTGGAGGCCCTGCCATGGGGAAGCCTGCAAGGGACATGTTGGGAGGCGTGAGCAGAGATGCTTTTCTAGAGCTGGGCCTGATTGGTGTTGGAGGGAGGTCTGAGGAAGGAGGGGGAGACTACAGGAAACCCAGCTCGGCCAAAAGAGGAACCTGGGCACATGTTCGGTTTTCCCCTCCGTCCAACCTAGCTTGCATCACAAATCAGTTTCAGTCTTAGTCTGGCTCTTCGGCTGAGGTCAGCTGTCCTCAGTTCCTCTCTGCTAGGACCCTCTCATCCAACGACCAAACCCATCCCACCTCCCTCCGTGTCTCTCAATCAGTGTGGGGAAGGGTCGTGGGAGGCAGGCAGGCAGCTCAGTTTCCATCGGGGCTGGCCGGGAGTGAGAAGCCAGTGCTGACAGGGAGGATTTTAATCCCCCAATCCTCTCAGGCCTGGGAGGTTTCCCTTCTGTGTGCGTGGACCAGTGGCTCTGGCTTCCACACCCCTGGAGCTAAAATTCCACCCTCAGATTGAAAGCTTGGGACCCGCCCTCCATCTTAACACCCATACAAAGCATATTGCCCCGTCTCAGAGGATGGCGTGTGTGAGATAGTCAGACTGTGCCTTTGCCACCCTTCTCTCTCTCTCCATCTGGGCAAAGCTGCCTAATCCTGCCACAGGGGTCACCCCCCTCACATCTGAGAGGGGGGCAAGGAAGGGAAGGGGGTTGGGGAAAGGAAGGTTGCAGGAGGGTCTGGCATCAGCAAGAGCCACAAGTTTGATTGTGTTTTTGTTTTCTTTTTTTTAACTGAGGTAAATAAAAAAGCTTTATCTTGCATCACCTGGAGATCAGAGTCTGTGCCCTCGCCCTCCCAGGTTCCCCGTCCTTCACATGAGGCTCTTCCGGTACTGACTGTGCTGGGCCGTCTGTCGGAGGTGGGAGTCGGGGGTCTGCAGGTCCATCTGTCGGTAGAGGTCCCTCAGCTCCCGGACCTCCTGCAGCACCCTCTTGGCCTGGCTCCAATTCGAAGACGCCTCTCCCAGCAGCCGCTCCGTCTTCAGCAGCAGCTGCTCCGACTCGGAGTCGGGAGGAGACCGAGGGGGGTCCTTGGCCTTTCGCTTCCCATCTCCCAGTCCCTGAACCTCCGCCAGCAGCTCCTGAGTCTTCTCCAGTTTCCTCGCTACCAGGTCCTGGATCCGGGACAGCTGCCCCGGGTGCGGGGGGGTGCGGGCGGGGGGCTCCTCGGCCCGCAGGTGGAGGGTGCAGGCCGGGGCAGTGTCCCGCTGAGACAGGATCTCCTCCAAGGAGGCACAGCGGCCTTTCTCGGCGGGGGTCAGCTTCTTAGGGGCCTGGGGGGTGTAGGTGGCCCCCTTGCTTGGCTTTTCCCAAGGCCGCGGGAGGCCGCTCGCCCGGTCCGAGGGCTGGATTCGGTCCGAGTCCGCTCTCCGCCGGCTGCCCGCGAGCTGGGCCACTGACTTGTCCAGGTCCACCCGGAAGCTCTCAGCACAGGAGGTGGGCTCCTCAGGGGAGGGGTCTTCCTCCTGGATCAGGTCCAAGGTCAGCATCCCGTCTGAGGTAGAGGTCGAAGCCTGGAGAGGGAGAGGCGGGGAGGGAGGGGTGAGCCATCATCAGTGGGCATTGCAGGAGCGGCTGCCCCCGAGATGCAAGCTGTGCCCCTTCCCGGCTGAGCCCTCTGACTGCTCCTTCCTATTCCTGATACCGACTTGGACTTTGCTCTTTTACTTTCCTGTGATTTAAAGAAATTCCTCAGGCGTGTTTCTCACATCCTCCACTTTGCTAAGAGCTTCCTGAAGAGGGTCGTTTTCCTCTACACCGAGGACTCTAAGCATCGCACTGGGCCTGACACAGGATGCTTCGCTCAGCCCGGCACCTGCATCCTCTGGGCCACACCCACCTCTCCGCTCCTGGGCGCTCAGAACCCCTTGCATTCCAACCAAACGTGTTCTCCAGACTCTAGGATACTCTAATTAAAAACAAGTGCTAAGGGCAGTCAGTGCTGCAGCTGCACGGACACGGCAGCCCTTTACGGCCGGCAATCACCGCCCCACTCTACAGGCGGGGACACGCAGCTTCCGGGAACCAGAGGGAACTAATTTGCAAAGCTGGGTTCCCACCCGCGTCTGACTCCAGAGCCTGGCTTACACTCCTTCCACCTGACTGCCCCTCCTCCTAGAGAAGCACCTCTCTGTATGTTACGGGGTGTGTGTGTGTGTGACTGTGATCCTCCTCTGAGCCTGTGGAACATAACGCTGTTACCTGTCAGGACAGCTGCCAGCAGAGAGTAGCTTATCCTGCCTTTGCCATTTCCCCCCAAAGGATGATGAGTGTATTGAGGACGAGGCCTTAGAACTCACAGTAGGTGCTGAACACACATTTTTGAACGGGAGGAATCAGGCAGGGCGGGCGGGGAGAGGGACTTCCCGGCCTGTGACCCTGGTACTGCAAATGCCTCCGGTGGGATCTCTGAGCGACAGCCCTAAGACGGACTGACGTGGACTCGGCCCTTCGGCAGTCTGTACTCTCTTACATACCACGGCCATTAGGTGTCCCCGCGTGGGTGGGCGGCGGGAGTGTTGGATCTTCGCCCTGTCTCGAGTCGGGTGGGCGAGGTAGCTGTCCTCTTCCACTGTGACCTGAAGAGAAGCACTGTGAGGCCGTGACTGCTCTTCAGACTCCGTCCCACCCCCGCATCCCCTGAGGCCCGAACATGCCCGGGCTCGGACAGAAACCTTCCCACGAACTGCTTCTGAGCAAGTCCAAGGGCAAGGCCTAGGGATAGGACGGGGCTCCTCAAGCTGGCCCAAGGCTGGCCCCGGCCTCACAGAGCAGGGGAGGGGAAGCTAGCAGAGAAGACTGAGAGGGTAGGAAGAGAAAAAGGGTTTTTGAAAGGGAGCTGGTGAGGGAGCAAGTCAACGGGAGGCCGCACCCTCACTCCCCTCCCCCCCCCCTTCAGGTGAGCCCCAGCAGCTCCCCCGCCCCAGCGCCCCTCTCCCCACAGGAGCCTCTGACCTCGTCCAGGATGCGGTTCTTGGCCCGGGTGATGGCAGAGCTGAGGGCGTTGATCCACGATTCCTTCTCTTCTGGACTCACCGCCAGGAAGATCAGGTTGGGTGCCTGTGAGGGGAAGATTCTTGTTTCAGCCAGATTTTAGAGCTGGTGTCTCACCTTAACAGTGAAGAAATAAGAAATTATAATCTCATTCTCCGAGACCCTGCTCCTGGAAGGAAAGAGATCCTGCTTCCAGAGTCACCCATCACTTAAAGAAACCGGCCTCTATTCCTGCAAAATGCCACAGCTTGCACGTTGTTTTAGAAATGCCCAGAGAAGAGCTGAGAAGGGTCTTGGGTATTAATGTGGGACTGGAAATAACTGCCGGAGGTTTGCTGAAGGACAGTGCTCAAATAAAGGTTTTTAACTGTTTGAGGAAATAGAATGCGACAGGAATGGCCCGCCTTAGCCAGGAGAAATTAGATTCAGAAATTCAACCACATATCAGGATACAGGGAAAAGGGATTTTTCTCCCAAGCAATGTGCGCGTGTGTGCATGTGTGTCTGCGTATGTGCGTATGCAAGGGAGAGGGAGGCTGGGGTGTATGTGCTTGCGTGTGTGGGTGGGTATGCGAGGGAGAGGAGGAGGGAGGCAGAGGAAGACAATGACCTTTGTTTGAAGGCTGGCTTGCCGTGAGGGCAGGAAATGGCCACAGTCTTCTCAGGCTAAATAATAAAAGCTGGCGGGAGAGCAGTAATCCAGGACCTCTGAGCCAGGAGGCCGAGGGAGAGATCCTGGAGGGGACAGGGGTTCTCCCGGCCCCCTCCCGGGCCCTGACCTCATCCAAGATGCGATTCCTGGCCCTGGGTGATGGCCGCCCTGAGGACAGGGCTGTAGTGCGTCAGAGGTGTGGGAACCCTGGCCTGGTCAGTGCTCCTGCGGCCGGGAGGCAGGGAAGACATACCGTGTTCCCGGGCTGCTTGCAGTGGGCAAGCGTGAACTTGCTATGGTTTTTCTTGCTCCTGCTCTTGGATTTCCGGAGCTCTTCACACTTCTCATAGTCACTCAGGTCAAACACCTCTTGGATGTTTTTCTCATCTTTCACCTGGAGGAGGGTGGGAGAGGAGGTGATGAGGATAGAGTTACTTAGTCTCTTCCCCCCGGTTGTTAGATCAGTCTTGGGGACAGAGGAAACCTGAGGGGGAGGGATGACAGGACAGGAAAGGCCTATCCTACCCAAGGCCCACCGGGGATGTGCCCGCAACCAAAGTACATGCCTTTGACCAGAATCGAACCTGGGACCTCTTTCGGTCCGCAGGCTGATGCCCTATCCACTGGGCCAAACCGGTTTCGGCCTCAACTGGGTTTCTTCTCACACTCCTCCTCCCAACTGTGCTCTGCCAAGCACCCCAGGATGTTGCCCTTGTCCACGACTCCCACTTTGTCCCTCCTTCGGAGGACAGATTCACACAGCTACCAGGCTAACCGTGTCATCCCAAAGGCACCAAGACCCGACAGCCCTGGGTTGTCCAGAGGGCAGACATGAAGGCAGGGCCTGTCAGGGGGTGTCTGGAGGCCTCTGGCCTCCCCCATCTCATGTTTACATTGTTCTGTTGTCGCCTTCTTACCCTACGTAGCTCATTCCCCGACATATGCTATTACAGAGTCATCTCCCTCCTTCATTTCAGGAGTTCCCTTCAGTTTGTTCAGGGAAGCCGAAAAATAGACGTGTGGCTCCCTCCCTCCTCCCTCCCCTCACGGCAGTGTGCCGGCCCAACCGAGCTCTTCAGGGTTGAAAAGCCATTCCAGCCGCCACCTCTCTCCAGCCGGGCTGCACCATTCTCTCCCTGGAGGACCGAATTCCAGACTTGGAAGTAAGTCTTCTGCCATCTCCTTCCGTGACTGCAGTGTGAGAGCCCAGGGCCCCGTTCTGCCAGGAAGTTCTTCCCTGCGTCTAAACTTAGCCTTTCCTGCCTGCAGTATCTGTCTTGCACCCTGGTTCTGCCCTGCGCAGACCCATCCAGCCATTGGCTCTTGCCTCTCTTGCGAAACCAGAGGCCACAATTCTATCTACATCCTCCAACCCCAACCAGCATTTTCCGAGTTCCACAAGGCAAATTCCATTAGCATTTCTTCCTTTTTAAACCTCTCAGAGATCGTGCTCCCCCCCCCCGTGTCTCCCCCAGCCCTGGGGTTCAGGAGCCGTGGCCAGGGACTGCTGGGGCCTGTGAGAGGAAAGGAGACATGGTTGCTGGCCCAGGGGAAGCAACCTGCGGTCAGAAAACCCATTCACCCTCCGCTGCTTGAGTCTGGGTCGGCAGACTGGCAACGAGCTGGTCCTGCTTTTCTGGGAAGAGAGACCGGCACTTGTCCTGGTAAAACGGAACAGACAGAAGCAGCCGCCTCTCCCCCCTGGAAGACATCCACTCGCCCTGACGGGAACTATTGCACAAGAATCTCTCCTGCTTGTCAAGCTCTGAACCAGGGATTGTGTGTGTGGCAGAGACTATCTGTCCTCTTGGTTCTCAACAGCCTTGATGTAGGGAAGTGGCGCTCTCTTCGACCCCCAGCTCACCTCTGGCCTTGCACCTGCCCATCCTTCTGACTGGCCGCCGGACCCAGGGGCTGACGTAGGTGACAAGAGCCCATCACACAGCCCCAGTCTGGTGAAACGGCTGCTCGCACACCCACTCAGCTTCTGCGTGGCTCCTCAGGGCTCTCCCTTTTCCAGGGCGCCCTGGCTTTGAGCCGGGAAGGGATCAGAGGCCTTGAAGGATTATGGGTAGATGTACACAAGATGCTGGCAAGGAACATCCAAGAACAATTCCCAGAAACACGGGCAGGGGTGTGGGGTAATGCATCACTCCTCTTCTCCCCTCCTTCCTCAGGGCTGAGACTATCAGCAGAGGCCAGAAATCTTGGAAAGTGCGGGGTGTGTGTACTTATCAGGGGAAGAGAGTTACTTGTTGTTTTCCTTGGGGGAAGGAAGGGAAGGGAAGGGAAGGGAAAGGAGGGGGAGTTCTGGCTTGGACACAGCTGATAAGGAGCTCTGGGGGCAGGAGACACATGGACAGAGGTGAGCACTTGGTAGGGCGGGGAGGGGTAGGAGATGGCTGACGCCAGTGTTAGGACAAGTATGTTCCAGTCCCCGGGAAGATGGACAGCTCCAAGACCCTTGTTCTCCACTGTACTGTTTCCCCCTTCTCTGATTCCCAAAGTCTCATTGATAATTACCCACCTTCCAAACTTAACCCTTCCATTCCCTGGTTCTTTGTCCTCGGCCCACAGAAGGGATTTTCCCACGCCTGCCAAAAACAGTGCCCTGAACGGATTTCCTCTACCACCGGTCTCTTTGAGGTCTAGTTTCTGCTCCTGTACAGCAGCCTCTTTGACTGGAAATGAGGGGGGGATTTAACAACAAATACAGAAGGATTTCTTTGATGGAGGCGGTTGTGGGACTCTCTGCCTTTATGAGGGGAAGAACCAAAAAAGGCTTGCAAATTCTAGGGGAGGGAGAGAGAGTTTTCTTACATTAACATGTAACTTACAAACATACTTTGCATTTCTTTTTTAAAATCTTGAATCTACTGGCTCTGGAGCTTTTGGGAAGTAGACAGACTAAAGTCTGGAGTCCTCTGGTAGTTTCACCTTTAATCTAGTCCCATGGTCGGCAAACTGCGGCTCTCGAGCCACATGCGGCTCTTTGGCCCCTTGAGTGTGGCTCTTCCATAAAATACCTCGGCCTGGGCGTGTCTATTTTGAAGAAGTGGCATTAGAAGAAGTTTAAGTTTAAAAAATTTGGCTCTCCAAAGACATTTCAAACGTTGTCCTATTAATATTTGGCTCTGTTGACTCATGAGTTTGCCGACCACTGATCTAGCCCATTGTGCCATGGAAACTGGCTCCAAAGAAGAATAGCAATAGCCTTGTTCTCTTTTCCTAGACCCTTCTCAGGAGAGCAGTCAGATGCTCCTGACTCACAGGACACCACACATCCTAGGCTGAGGTCATTCCATCCTTTCCCATCACTGTACCCCTTCCTCCGAACACAAGGCTCACTCATGTTCTCTCACCCCCTGACTTTGTTCTTTGGATAAATACAATCAAGAAAAACATCTGCCCTTTCCCTGTCCTCAGGTCCTCTGACGTGTGGGAAGCCCTCCCTGATGGCTCACTCCAATTTCCTGCCATTATGAAGGTCGGGGGAGACGGGAGATACACTTTGACACCTGCTTTTTTTTTTTTTTAAACTGGAAAGCCAGCTAAATTGTGTAATAACTTTCTGTAGCACTGGAGTTGGGTGGAGGGGACCTTTAAAAATAAGTCCTCTTGCTTGGCTGGTGTGGGTCAGTGGTTGTGAGCATGGCCAGGAGGTCACAGTTCGATTCCCAGTCTGGGCACATATGCCTGGGTTATGGGCTTGATCTTCAGTGTGGGGCGTGTAGGAGTCAGTCGATCAATGATTCTCTCTTGTCATTGATGCTTCTCTCTCGCCCTCTCCCTTTCTAAAATCAATAAAAATATTTTTATTTTTAAAATATATTTTATTGATTTTTTACAGAGAGGAAGAGAGAGGGACAGAGAGCTAGAAACATCGGTCAGATGCCTCCTGCACCCCCCCCACTGGGGATGTGCCCACAACCACGTACATGCCCTTGACCGAAATCAAACCTGGGACCCTTCAGTCCACAGGCCGATGCTCTATCCATTGAGCCAAACTGGCTAAGGCAATAAAAAGATTTTTAAAAAATCCTCTTGTCAAAGTCTCCTCGCACCTCTCTCTCTCACCAGGTTCTCACCAGGTGAGCAGCAGGGTTAGACACCCAGAGGGATGTCTTTGGCCCTGGCGCTCCTCCTTTCCTCCCTCGTTGTCTCAGTGGATGTGCTGTTCAGACGAATCTCTCTATGGGACCGTGTGTGGGGCTGTTTCAATACCATAAAAGGATTTATTTACCTAAATATAGTCAACTACCGAAAGCAGAAGAGGTTAGGACTCAGGGAGGACTTCCCAGTTGGCCCCGGCTGAGGGAACACCAAATGGGGGGGAGGGCCATCCTGCCCGGGGGGCACAGGACAGGCTCCGGGCTGTGCTGCCAGTCGCCAAGGCAGGGACTGGGTGTCTTCTAGCCCTCGGAAGGGCACTTTAGTTTCTCAATGGGACTTCGTGTTATGAATCCCAAGAACGAGAGCTAAAAGGGACAAGAGTCTGGAATCATTGGTCTTGGCTCAGGTGCTTTCCCAATGTGGACTGTGGCTGACATTTCAGCTGAAGACATAGATCCAGGAGTTCATAGCTACATTCGCCTCCCTTCTGGGGGGAGGACGAGGGGCTGGAAGAGGGTGAAAAATGAATTCTTTGCTTCTTTTTAAATTTTATTTATTTTTTAGTGATATTGGGGGTGGGAGGGGAAACAACGAGGTCTGATTCATTGGCTTCAACAGAAATAACGGTCTGCCACTCGCAAACGCTCCACCTCCATCGCCTAAGACTGACCCTGGCTGTGCGTGTTTGTGTTCTCGGCAGCACAGCTGCAGCGCTGACCTGCGTGCGCTCCTGCCTCAGGCAGGAAGAGGGGGGGGGCGACAGGAAGGGGTGGCGGATTATGCTGCTGTTCGCAGAGCGTTTGTGTCAGCAGAGAGAAACACCCCCTTCAGCCAGAGACCGGGGCAGGGCAGGGGGCACCGGGGACACATAGGGAACATCTGGGGACATCATCGTGGTCAGAAAGGCATTCATTCGCCAAGAAACATCACTAAATAAGATGCACCCTCAACTTCTAACTCCGGTCTTCTCGCTCAGTTCAGGGTGACCTTTCCCAGCAGCTATCAGTGGTGGGGGGCGCTGAACTTGCTTTTGGAGCAAAGTAAGGGGCTGGGTAAACCTGGGACCTTAGAGGCAGATCAGCCCCCCTCCATCCACCCAGAGACAAGGTGGGGAACAGGAGAAGACAGGGAGCTGGAAGCTAAGGGCACCCACCTCCTTCTCGGAGATGTAGAGCTGGTCCCCTCGCAGCACCACGTAGCGGTTTTTCCAAATCTCCCTGAAAATGCCTTTCCCGCAGAATTTCCGGACCCAGCCGACCTTCTCGGGCAGCGCAGACTGGTGATTTCCATCCTGAGGCCCCTGTACCGGGGCAGGAGAGGAGGGGGCAGTTAGGAAGGGGCAGTTAGGGGGCCACCGCTCTTCCCTTCTCTGCACCCAGAGCCTCGAGACCCTTCCTTGGGGGGGGGGACAGCCCCGCGGAGGCTGGAGTCCCGGGCCGGGGTCCGCTCCCCACTTCCTCGGAGGCTCTCCCCTCGGCTCTCCTCCCCCGTCTCCCACATAAACAACTGCCCCCACGGCGGGGCCGGGGGCCTGGGCCGCGGTGGCCTCTGGTCGGCACGGGTCCCGCCCCCTCCCCCAGCCGGTCCTCGGGCGCCGGATTAACGGCGTTTCTTTAATTTCTCATTGTCTCCGCCGCAGAGCCGTGCACCCTGCAGCCGGCCCCGGGGGACAAGGGCTGGGGTCGGGCGCATGGCCAAGTGACACCCCCACCCAAGTAAACAAAAGCCCCCTCCCGGGCGGGGCGGGGGCGCGGGCAGCGGGGCCCGGGCGGCGGGGCTCACGCCGAGCGCGAGGCCGTTGCAGCCCCCACGGGCCGGGGTCCCCGGGGCGCAAAGTGGGGCGCGGGGCCGCGCGCACTCACCCTCTTGGAGGAATTGTTCTTCTTCATCATGCCGGGGCTGCGGGCCCGGGGCGAGGACCTGGGGCCTCTTCCCGGGGCGGGTGGCGGAGATGCCCCCGGCGCCGCGCTCCGCCCTCCCTCCCCCTGGCGGGCTCGCCTCCTTTGTAGCTCCGGTTACACCCGGGCCCGGCCTCCCCGCTCGCTCCTCGCACACACGCGCACGCCCGCTCCCCGCCCCCCGGCGCCCTCCATCCCGCCGCCCACGCGGCCGGGCCCCCGAGCTCCCGCCCGGCCCGGCCCGGCCCGCACCGCCCGGCCCGCGCCCCGGTCCCAGGCAGCGGCCGCTGACGTTGCGAGTTCAAAATAAAGGGCGAATCGCGGAGCCCGAGCGGGTGCGCTCCCCCCGCCCAGCCTCCCTCCCTTTGTTTCTGACTCTGAGGGTGAGGAAGACAGACCCAAACCCCGCCGCCCGGGACCCAGACTCAGACGGAGGGAGAGTGAGACCCACAGACCCGGGACAGACAGACCCGGTGGACCTGGCGTGGGACCTGGCCGGGGAGACCGGGAGGCGGATGGGGCGGATAACAGAGACAGAGAGGTGCGGGGATAACCCAGATCTGGACGGCTCCCTCCCAACCCCGCACAAAAACAAGCGCTCCAGCTGGCAGGGCGCGTCACCCACAGCTGGCGCCCGGAAGTCACATCCCCAGGTGGTGGAGACAGCGGCCTGGGCAGGTCGGAGGATGGGAAAAAAGTTTTATGCTTCGGAGGGTATCCGTGTGTAGGGGCCCCGCTGTGGGGAGAGAGTTAATACTCATAGACACTTCCTCCAGTTTGCAAGGCTGCAGGCCTTCCGTGAGCCTGTGGCTCAGGAGAATCACCCTGAGAATGTTATGATCTCCATGGCACACGGGAAGGGAGACCCAGAATGGCTGAGCGGTTTGCAGACACACACACTGAGAGTGTTGGGAGGAATAGAACTCTCTCTAAAGTGTAATCTGTTGTATTCGATGGCTTGAACTAGCCCCAGGTCTCTCTCACATGGAACACCCCACCCGGGCTACCTCATTGGAGGGAAGGGCTCCATGCCCACAGGATGCCCACACCTGGAATCCCTCCTTCATCCCATTTGCCTCGGAGCTGACCAACTTCTTAATAACTTGTTTTCCCAGGACATGGTGAAGGGGAAGAGGAAGCCAGGAAACCTAGGTTTGGATACTGGTTTCATCACTGCCCTGAGGCCTTTGGGCAAAGCAGCTGAATTTCTTTAGGCCTCAGTTGCTTCACATATTAAATATGAGGGATGAGGATGCCATTTCCATCCACAAGGAGAGCCAGGACAGTATCTGAGGTGACATGTGGAAGTCTTTCGAACAGAAAAGTATTGCCCTCTAGGCTACTTATTGAATAACAGTAAGCTAACCAACACATTGCCTGGCATATGGTAGGCACAATAACCACAAAAATGAAGGCCTGGCACAGAGGGGGGAAAAGGAAGAACTCTTTACCCAGACATGGCTCAAGATAAAGCTGTTGGCCAAGTTTGTGGTTTGAGAAGTGGCTAGGTCTTCGCTTTTTCTGGTATCTGTCAAATGAAGGAGGGGGACTTCTCTCTTTTCCCAATGCTCCCTTACCCCCTAATCCAATAATATCCCTCTTCACTGCTTTTCATGTACCATACTAATTAACTCCTCTGTATTAGACTGGTATAGTGCTCTTATATGTTATTTCTGTAAATATTTAGTGCTACCTTGTGAGGTATATGGAACAAAGAAGGACATGCAAATCAACTAACTTACTACACAGCAAGGTACTGGCTAAGTGGGTTAAAATCCAGTCTGTTTAGGTTTTGTACTCACACCTCTTCCCTTCCCACCATTCTTTCCTCCTTCCCGTCATCTTTCCCACCTTCTATTTTTACAAAGTGATTTTAAAAGAATGGGAAAGTCCAGGAGATCATCATAAATAAAGCAGCAAAATACCCCCGTGATCTGGTGAGAAAATGAACCTTGTATGATCTTTGGAGGGCTTGGATCTAAGTGGTTTGGATTTAGAGTTTCAATAGATTCTGGTTTATGGTGGGAAAGTAATTCATGACTTGCCCTATCTTCTTATTTGCCCTCATTTTGGTCAACTAATATTTGAGTGCCTCCTATCTGTGAGGCCCTAGGGTCGTGGTATGCTGCCTAAGACAGGAGCGGGAGCTTTGTGGAACATCAGCCAGAGAGAAGGACGGCTGAAATACCAAAACCCTCCCAAGTAATTTTCAGATTACAGAACAGATGCATGTGGGCTGGAGAGCCTTCCCTGCCTATCTGCTCCTTAAGATGTTACATAAATCTGCGCGCGCGCGCTCTCTCTCTCTCTCTCTCTCTCTCTCTCTCTCTCTCTCTCTCTTTCTCTCTCTCATTCCTGCACTGCCTCATTATTGTCCCCCTACCTCCCCTTACTCTGTGTCCCTTTGTCCTGTTACTCATCCCTCTTTCCATGTTCCATACTCTTTGAACTGTTCTTCAAGCTGACTTCTCTAGCCAGGTAGACCTCATGGCACTAGAATTGGGATCTATGAATTGTGGTTATTTCCAAAGACCAATTCTTAAGAGAGAAATTTCAGAGTAAGAATTTCTGGCTGAAACCGGTTTGGCTCAGTGGATAGAGCGTCAGCCTGTGGACTGAAGGGTCCCAGGTTCGATTCTGGTCAGGGGCATGTACCTTGGATGTGGGCGCATCCCCGGTGGGGGGTGTGCAGGAGGCAGTTGATTGATGACTCTCTCTATTCCTCTCTGTAGAAAATCAATAAAATATATTATTAAAAAAAAGAATTTCTGGGTTCCTTTACACATATTCATAGCATCTTCTCAGTGAACTCGACTCTACCACACACACAGATCACAAAAATAACTCAAGCCAGTTTCTCTTCAGTGGAGATAAGATACTGGGAGGACTTGATGGCGTTACCTCCTTTTCTGCATCGCCACGGATAAGACACAACTGCCAGTAGCTTTATTCTTCAACTAGTTTATGAGTAACTCCACACAAGGGAGAGAGAAGGGAGCTATCAGAGATAAGGACTCGTGAATTGCTGCCTGCAAGTTTACTGACAGGAACTATTATCAAAACATTTGTTTAGATAAAAATAAGTACTTTGGCTTTTGTAGACTAAATGGGACATAGGGGTTCTGACTATGGAAGAGAGCTCATTAAAAGCATATAGGACCTTACCGGGCCAGTGTGGCTCAGTGGTTGAGCATCAACCTAAGAGCCAGGAGATGATGGTTTGCCGATTCCCCATCAGCACATGCCTGGGTTGCAGCCTCGATCCCCAGTAGGGGGTGTAGAGAAGGCAACCAGCCATTCTCATCATTTTTGTTTCTATCTCCCTCTCTGAAATCAAGAAAAAAAATATTTTAAAAAAGCATGAAGAATTTTTTAAAAGTACCTAAATAAACTGCAACAACTACAAAAAACAATTTAGATCTTAGCTCTTAGCTATAATATGAATTTAAAATAAAGGCCTAGGGCTCCACATGAGTGTAAGGTAAAGAAACCGCTAATTACTGCAGAAGGAGGGTTGTCAATCATTTTGTGTGGTTTTGTACCCCCAATTTTGAGAATCAATTGTATCTACTATTATTAATTTCATTTAGTGTTTAGATGCTCTAAGTGCTTTATATGTATTATCTCATCTCATCTAATCCTTACAATACTACGAGGAAGGTACTTGATTACCCGTTTTATATATAAGGAAATTGAGCCACAGACTAAATGACATTCCCAAAGCCACATTACTGTGAATCAGATTGGAGTGCTGGCTATCTTCCTGATGCCTGGGGATGCTTATCAAATAAAGGAAAGGTAAAAAATATGAAAGACTCACAGAGAACCAGGGCGGGATTATGCTGTGGTATTTTTGCTGTGGTTTGAGGATGCCATAATTTCCTGGCATTAATAGCATCACATTCCATTGCTTTCAAGAGAAGTGAAACTGCCGAAACCGGTTTGGCTCAGTGGATAGAGCGTCAGCCTGCGGACTGAAAGGTCCCAGGTTCGATTCCGGTCAAGGGCATGTACCTTGGCTGCAAGCACATCTCCAGTGTGGGGGTGCAAGAGGCAGCTGATCGATAATTCTCTCTCATCGGTGTTTCTAATTCTCTATCCCTCTCTCTTCCTCTCTGTAGAAAATCAATAAAATATATTTAAAAAAAAAAAAGAGAAGTGAAACTGACACCAGAATTTATTATTTGCCTTGACACACTGTAAATATGCTTTGTGTAGAGGCAGCGCCTTCTCCATATTTGGTGTAAAGCGAGCTCATGCCATAGCTTATGAATTCCCATACATAGTTATTAACCCCCAAGAAACAAAAACAAATCACTTGTATCTTTCCACAAAACGGCTTTTTATTGCAGTCACACGTGGTTTCTCAGGGCCACAGAAGATTGCAATGTAGGGACAATTTTTGGATGGCTCTCTACAGAAACATGATGAGTTTTCAGAAATGACTTGTGCAGGAATGTGGTTAATGAAAAATAAAAGGGGTCAAGAGGAGAGAGAGTGTGCAGTGTGTACACCAAATGGTTACTTTTACAAACTCTTTCAAGCTTTCTCAACCCTTTTTGTCAAGTAAGATCCAACAAAATTCATCAGAAACAGAAGTGATTGTGCTATTAAATACAAGGAATACATTTATTTGATAAAGAAACCATGAGAAAAGTGGACTGGGAAGGGCTCAGACTTATTCGCAACTCATTACTGGGAGTCTTGGTGTCTGTGCCAATAGTTCAGGAACCAGCAGGCTGCCTGGAGATGGGTTATAAGAACAAGCACAAAACCCAAGCTCTTCTCCGATGCTCCTGGACCGTGCGAGAGCCTGCAGCGAGGCCAGAAGCTGCGCCGGTCTCCTCGCCTCGCCATCACCGCTTCACCTTCTGCTTGCTGACCTGGAGGTAACGTGAGCGCTCTCCTTGCTTCGGCTGTGCAGTCCGGAAGACAGAACTTCCTCTAGGAAACTGACCAGCAGGTTGGAGGTTACTCCAGGGAAAAGGGAAGGAAGCATTTCCCATGTCTGGTTCCATCTCCCACCGTGCAGCCTACGCCCATCCATGCTCAACCTCTCACTGTTCCTGAAACATGTCATGAGCTTTCATACCTTATGTTTTGCCATTATATCCCATGTCCAAAAGGATAGACTATTCTTCTCTGTCCGGTGAAATCCTTATGATCCTTTAAGGCTGAGGAGCAAAAGGCCCCATTTCTGTGAAACCTTCCCAAACTCCTTCATGCTGAACTAATCGTGCCCATCATGATGATCACTTTGCCCTCGTGCTGTGTTAACGCTGTATTAATATGAACGAGGTACTCTCCATATTACTGTTAGCAAAATAGGGTGGGACTGTCGCTCCTTAGGGTGGAACTAAGACTTGCTCTGCTTGGGTCTCCAGGGCTTAATACAGCGCTGACACCTAGAAGGTACTCAATAAAGGTATGCTGAAGAAACAAATTAAAATCGTTACCCATTGGCAAGAGAGCCTTCTTTATGATACACGTCTTGGGGCAGTATTTTTAAGTGTGTGGGACTCACTCTCAGGAGACAGATCTATAGTAGACGGAAGGTTGGAGGAGTGACCCGGTACCTTGTTATTATCATTGGTTTGTAGTCTTAAACCTGGAAGAGTCTGACCTTAGAGGATTTAAATTCCAAACTTGTTTGCAAAAGAAACACAATGGTGAAGCAGAGGGAAAGGAGTAGAAGCTAAAGTGATTTCTCTACTGAATGCAGGCACCCTCCCTCTCTGGCCTGGCTTTTTGGCCAGTTGGACGAGAGATGCTTGGAGATCAGAAAATGACTTTTAGTGAGAATGAAACATACGTGCTGGGAAACACTATAGGGATCTATTAGGTGATCCCTGCTTCTCTTCAGACTATGCAAGTCTAAGGAAAGGAGTAGCATTCCTGAAATCATACTTAAAGATCCTCCCCTGTGTATCAACAAGACCCCACATTCTTGACTGCAGAGAAAACATTATTTGTATTTCCCAAGCCTAATTTTGTTTCCTAGGGCCATTGTTGCTTTTCAAAAAGTATCTATTTGAGGACTTTGGTGAGTCACTGCAGAATGCTTTAACAATTACAGGCGATGAACATATTGCTTTCTGTACCCAAATTTAGACTATGCTTAAAAACAACAACAAAAATGCTTTTCTTTTCCAGGGTTGTTTTAAATCAGTCTCACTTAAAAAGCAAACTCAAAAATCTCCTTTTCCAGTCCTGGCCAGTGTGGTTCAGTTGGTTGGAGCGCCGTCCGTGCACTGAGGGATTATGGGTTCAATTCTGGTCAGGGCACATACCTGGGTTGCAGGTTAGATGTCCAGTCAAGGCACATACAAGTGGCAATCAATATTTCTTTCTCTTCCCTACTCTCCCACCCCTGCCCCGTCTCTCTCTTTTTCCTTCTCCCTTCCTCTCTAAAATCAATAAAAATTTTTCTAAAGAAAGTCCTTTCTCCTCTGGTACTGTAATCCAATTCAATTCCACTCAATTCAATTTAACAAGTGTTTCCTGTGCATCTGTTAAGAAGTAGGCACTGAGCTAAGGCGGACAATGAACACTTGTGGTTCCTTCCTTGAATGTGCTCTCAGTCAGAGACAGACTCACAACCACAATTCAGTGGGAGGCGTGGTATAAACAGAGATGGGCCAAGAGCTAACCTGGGGGACTAATGCCATTGCTTGTCTTAGTTTGTGCCGTCATCAAGGGTGCTTTCCCAACAAGATGGAAAGAAGGAAGGTGGGCAGACAAAAGCCCTGATTTTAAAAAGTCAACCTCAGAAAAAAGTCTTGCACCACACATGAAAAAACAAGTTTCACTTTTAAGTCTTTGTAAGGGACTAGGGACTAACACTTATAGGAGTTTAAAATTTAATTACTAAAGTAATTGGGCTGAACAACTGTGTCCCTAAACAAAACTATATATATATATTTAAAAATATATTTTTTTATTGATTTTTTACAGAGAGGAAGAGAGAGGGATAGAGAATTAGAAACATCGACGAGAGAGAATCACCAACCAGCTGCCTCCTGCACACCCCCCACCGGGGATACACCCGCAATCAAGGTACATGCCCCTGATTGGAATCGAACCAGGGACCCTTCAGTCTGCAGGCCGATGCTCTATCCACTGAGCCAAACCGGTTTTGGCAAAGCTATATATTTTAACAAGACAAAATTATGTCTATTTCTTCCTCTTTTTCCCCTGCCATATTCCACAGATAGAAATTACATGTGAGTTTCTTCTTATACCAAAGATACCAAAGGAATCAAGACTCAAATCTGAAGAGTGCTACAGTGAAGAAGAAGAAAAGAGCAGAATTTCTGATAAGCAGGAAAGTAGAAAAAGACTTTCAGGAAAACAATGAGAAGAAAAACTCAAGATATTTGCTTTAATGGAGAAATGAGGCCTCTAATTACAACCAAATACTTAGCTAGAGATCCTGGAATATGGGAGTGGGTGAGTGGAGGAGAGGGTAAAACTTTTCACAGCTTAAATACTGAAAACTCTCAATTTCCACTCCTTCAGTTTTCAGAGCCACTTAGTGGACATCCCCCAAGGGGCCCCAGACTGCAAGAGGGCGCAGGCTGGGCTGAGGGAACCCCCCTCCCCAGTGCACAAATGTCGTGCACTAGGCCTCTAGTATAATAATCATAACACAACAATAATAATAACGGCAAACACATATCACTGTATGTGAGGTACTGTTCTCATGAGATAGAAACTACCGCACTTTATGAAGAAATTGAGGCACAGAGAAGTCAAGGTCTTACATCTTGAAAGTGGGATTCACACCCAGACAATATGGTTTCAGACTTCTCTTATTGCAATTTTTAAAAAATGTATTGGGGGTGACATTGGTTAACAAGATTATGTAAGTTTCAATTTCACGAAGTGCCAAGGTACCAGGCCTGTAACGATGAGGTTTCTTTACCCCTCCAGTAGAGGGTGCACTCTTGCTAGCGGCTTTGGTAATTGTTTCCCTGGTGCTTTACTACCGGTCAGTTTGCGGGCAGTCTGCTTTGTGGGAGCCACGCTACAGAGCCCTCTTTACTTAGCCCCTTCTCCTTGGACTGGAGCTTGGTGAGAGAGAGGCGGGGCTGCCCTTAGAGTGCAATGGGGGCTGTGAACACCGTTACAGAGGGGTTTTAAAGATGGGAAACAGCACGCTTCTATCCTTGTGTGAATGGTCAGATAGAGGGAGAAAAACCGGTGCAGGAGAGAGGAGGGGGTTTGGAGTCACGTCTTGGAGGGAGGGGATGGGATCTGGTGCTCAGGGGAAGGGCTGGTGTAGCTGGAAGCTTTCACCATTTTGACCTGAAGAAAGGCAGAGGGTAGTAGCAGAAGGGGGAGCTGTTGAAGTTCTCTTCTAATGGCTTCTCTTAACAATTAGTGCACATCTGAGTGGTACCTCCTTGATCTGTGTACCCTCAGTAAAAACTAGATGTTAAGTATCTGATGAATGAATACATGTATCAGATTATTTTTTAAGAAGTTAAGACCCAGTTTAAGTGTCCCTTAACTTTTCCTAAATATCTGACAGCAAATTTACCAGAAACAAGGGAAAAGGTTGTCATTCTATGTCTGAAAGCACTCGGGGCGGTTTTGGTAGAGAGATCATCCTGCTCCTTACTGATTTCTACTTTATTTCCCATTATTTCTCAAATATGTTGTACCATTTCCTCCCTCTTGTCCTTAAGTATGCTGTTTCCTCAGCCCTGATTGCTCTTTCTTCCTATGGAAACCCAACGTATTCTTTTTTTTTTTTTTTTTAATATATTTTATTGATTTTGTACAGAGAGGAAGGGAGAGAGATAGAGAGTTAGAAACATTGATGAGAGAGAGTCATCGATCAGCTGCCTCTTGCACACCTCCTACTGGGGATGTGCCCGCAACCAAGGTACGTGCCCTTGACCGGAATCAAACCCGGAACCTTTAGGTCCCCAAGCTGACGCTCTATCCATTGAGCCAAACCGGTTTCGGCCCAACGTATTCTTTAAGGTCTAGCTCAAACGCTGTCTCCTCTGTGAAGCATTTCCTGAGTGCTCTGCCAGAATTAATTATTTCTATTTAGGACACATTTTATTTAACTTGCATATATTAACACTGCTCAAATTTTTGCACCTAAAAACCCCCTAACAACAGAAGAGAGTGAATTTATTAATCTGAGGGTATAGTCCAAATTGGTTCACAGTTTACATCTTTCTTTGTGGTCTGGTATTTTGTTTTAAAAACAATTTTATCTATTTTTTATAAAGGAAGCTTTTACATTTTGAGATAAACATATTTTAAGGTACTTATCAGTTAAATTATTTAATTCTGTCCTTGAAAATCTCCCCAACTAATTGGGGAGAACAGATACTTCAAAAGATGTATCATGTTCATTTTGTGCCTGGATAAAGATATAAAACAGTTCCTTGATTATAAACAATTTCACTGAGGTTATTTTATCCTGTGACACTTTCATACAAACAATGTAACTGCCTATTAGGAAATGAAGCTGCTCTATCCCGGTTCCCACCTTAGTACTGGATGCCTGAAAAAACAAAAAGCAAAGCAAAGCAAAACAAATACAGCCCTTGGCCTATTTCCTCTCCCACAAGAACAGGGGGGAGAGCAACCAATAGGATTCTGCATGTTCCCAGCACTGTGCATACAACATTCATTGGGGTATCATGTGAGCAGAAAGGATTACCCTCATGGTCCACAGGGCAAGAGATTCATTCCTCGGGTATAAATTGCCTGCACTATTGGTTACCCAGATTCTGAAAGGAGATTATTGTCTGAGAATAAAAAGAGCTACAGACGTACTTTCTCAACCCTGCAAACTTTTGAGACCATGTCAATTAGTCAGAGCAACCACAACTACAGGAATAGAATGGTAACCATCATTTTAAAAAGTTCAAGAAACAAAGCCCCAAATAACCTCACTGTAGAAAGCCTTGGATGCCAATGACTCTACACAAGTCTATGAATTCTAGAGGCACTGACTGTGGGGGCCTCAGAGGGGAAGTTATAAGTGAGCACTAATGGGAATTGAGCTACTCAAAACTTTTCTCCTCACAGATCATGATCATCATCTGGCAACTGGACCATCTTCACAGCAAGTTTTACCACTGCCCCAGTATATTCATACTTAGGACACTAATATAATTCTGCTCCTGAACTGTGTGAACTGAAAGTGAAGTATGGATGATGACACAGGTACTGATGATGAATAGCCAATCTTTTATACTTTATTTCCCCAGATTTAATAATAATGGCAGCAGCAGCAAGTAGTCTTATTGAGTGCTTACCCTGTGCCAGATTCTTCTCTAAGCTTTTTATATATTGACCATCCAAACATCACAATAGAAGCTATGATCACCGCCATTTCACAGAAAACTGAGGCACAGAAAAACTTGCCTAAGGTCATACACACAGACACGTGGCAAAACTGGAGCCTGTGCTCTGAACTGCTATGCTGCACTGCCTCTTAAAAGACTAAAGAGTATCAGAAGGTGATTCTTAAATAACAGGTCCATTTGGAGCCCAGAAGCTCTCATGATAGCCGAGTGGAAGAGGACATGTCCTGGCCTGGCGGGGAAGGTAATAGTTTTGGGAGAGGAACGGCAACTCAGGGCTGTGCTGAGGCTAATCAGCTCGCTCCTTTACTACGTAACAACCCCAGTGGCATCACTTTACTGACTTAAAAATCTGTAGAACATTTTTTGTGATCATAAAAAAAAAATAGGAATGTAGATAATATAGGAAATAAAAAAGTAAACGAGTCACTTTTGCATCACTACACAGCACTTTTGAGCTTTTCCTTCCTTCCATTTTTAACTTTGTTTAACTCAACAAAACCTGAAACAAAAATGCAAATGCTGTATTGGGTCTCACAGAACAAAAGGCATATCCTGCAAACTTGTTAAGCGATGAGAACATTTCCCTAAAATGCAACATTCTGGCCGCAAGAAACAGAAACCTATTGAACCAGCTTAAATGAAAGAAAAGGGGGCATTAGATGGCATGACTGTTGGGGTGGGGGGGTCTATCCCTGAACTAGGGACAGGAGGAGGTCAGTGCCCCACGGCCTGCAATCTGGAGCTGGAGGCTGCTTTGAAACAGTATCTTTGAGTCTCTTTTCTTTCTGACTCTCTTCTTTATTGGTCTCTTCTTTTAGTTTCACACAGTTTATCTGTGTGTTTTTTCTCTGCATGTGAGTTGAAGTAAACTTTGGAAACTAACCTTTTCCATACAAATAGATGATTTTTTAAACTTCAGGTTGTTAAGAATCAGGAGCAGCTAACCTCAGTGTTGGCAAGGGCAAGGTGTGAAGGCATAAACTGGTGAAACTTTTCTGGCTAGCACCCTGGTCATGTAGCATCTTCAAAGTGTTGCAGCAATTTCATCTCAACAAGTGCTAGTGGTGCATGAAATCTCGGATCAGCCAAATTTTAGCTTGAATTCCAGTCATATTGCACTTCCTTGCTCTATGACTTCAGGCAAATTACATAATTTCTCCATGTTTCAGTTTCTCCATTTGAAAATTGGGATCAAAACAATATCACCTCTTGGATCATGAAGTTTAAATGAGATAATATATGTAACAAAGCCAACAGACTGTCTAAAATACAGAATATGCTCAATTATTATCATCCCAAGTGAACAACTGGACAAGTGAACAACTGAACAATTGAACGTATGTATAAAGCATATGTAAGTACATATATAAATGATGTTTAGTACAGCACTGTTGGTAAGAGAGAAAAATTATAAACAATGAATATCTAACAATATCTGTTTTGTTTACCACTGTATATCTAGTCTCAAGATAGCTCTTGGAATACAGTAGGTACTCAATAAGTATTTGTTGAGTGAACAACAAACTGAAAATTGGTTATGTAAATTGTGGCACAATCAGACAACAGAATACTATTCAGTTATTCAACATGACATATATAAGTATTTTCATTGAAAGTACATGAATAGAATATTCCCTTTTATTAAGACTAATGGCCTGGTGCATGAAATTTGTGCACCCTGGGAGGGTTCCCTAAGCCCCGCCTGGACCTTCTCCAATCAGGAACATCCCTCTCGCAATCTGGGACCGCTGGCTCCTAACTGCTCACCTGCCTACCTGCCTGATTGCCCTAACTGCCTCTGCCTGCATGACTGATCACCCCTAACTGCCCTCTCCTGCCAGCCTGATTTCTCCCCAACTGCCCTCTTTGCCTTTGTCCCCACCACCATGGCTTTGTCCAGAAGGAAGTCAGACGCCAGAAGATGGCCGGTCGACCTAGTCTAATTAGCATATTACCCTTTTTATTAGTATAGATATGTGTGTATACATTAATAGAAAAAGGTCTAAGAGGCTGTACATCAAGATTTGACATTTCCTATGATGGGATGACAGCAGCATGGATATTTTTATTATCTTTTCCAGTGCACAAATAAATTAAAATAAAGAAACATGTATATTTGAATGGGTTAAATTCAAATTTTCAGAAGCATCTGATTTATTTATATACCCATTTTCCCATTAGACATTGATCCTTACAGATATAGAAAATGTCTTCATCTTCCTAGCACCTTGCACAGAACCTTATATATAATCACACTCAGTAAATGCTCACCAGTGAAGGTGATGCACTCCTCACAGCTCTTGCAATGATGTCTAATATTCTGTTTACAGGAGGAAAGTCAACGTCCCCCCCCCCAAATTTCTACAAAGATGGTGATGGTTCCAGCAGTTTCAAGACTGATCCGGAAATGTCCATAAGTGAAGAGTCTCCTCTGGATCCCTCTTCCTTTGAAATGCAAATTCTGTCACAGGATCCCAATTTTTCTATAAATAATTCAGAGATCCTACCAACTTGTGGTTACAGGAGAAGGTCCAAGTTTCTAATGTTACCTCTTTAGGTATAAATCTATAAGTACCTGTTGAAAATATCCATCAGCCCCCTCCCAGCTTCAAGTTTACTTAGAGAAAATAAAAATTCCAACTGTTTCCTTAGCCCTAAACTGTATTCTCTACAAAAACATTACTGTGACTGACTTTGAGGGAATTGCCTTATTGTAGCACTTACCATTATCTGAGGTAGTGACGAAACTAACAGCCGTCACTAGTTAATCAAGTTAATTTTTACTCAAAGAGCAACACTGTCTTAAATCTCATCCTTAATTATCTTTGGGTGGCAAAAATCTTAAAACAAAACTAAATGATTCCTTACTATTTTTCTCCTGCTTTGATTTACAGTATTTCTAGTAGTCAGAAAGCATCACATACTGGCCACTTGGTAAAAACATAAGGAATTTCTAAAAAATCATAGCTAAATTCTCCCAAAATAGTATTTCAACTGAGTGCTTAGGTATCCAGAGACTAGAAACAGACGGTCTGAGTTCAGTTTCAGCTTGACCACTTATTAGCTCTATATCTTTGGACAAGGTACTTAGCTTCTCTACACCTCAATTTCCTCATCTGAAAAATTAGGTTGATGATAATAACAAACATATTTACCTTGCTATGAGAATTGAATGAAATTGAATGGGTTAAAGAAGCACTACCCAAGAGAAATGCAAAATTAGTCACATATTTGAGCTGCTAAGTAATTTTAAAAACCACATTAAAAGGTAAAAATATATAAAATTAATTTTTTAAAAAATGTTTTCATTGATTTGAGAGAAGGAAAGAGAGGAAGGGAGAGGGAGAAACCAGGAGAAAGAGAGGGAGGGAAACAAAGAGAGAAACATCAATCAGTTGCCTCCTGCATTTACCTCAACCAGCTCAATCAGAGTATCAATCCACAACCTGGGCTTGTGCCCTGACCAGATTGAACTGGTGACCTTTCGGTGACTGGATGACACTCACCAACTAAGCCACACTGGCCAGGGCTGTAAAATTAATTTTAATAGTATATTTGATTTAACCCATTTATCCAAAACATTATCAACTTAAATTATTATTTTAAAAAATATATTTTATTGATTTTAGGAAGGAAGGGAGAGAAAGATAGAAATATAGAAACATCAATGATGAGAGAATCATTGATTGGCTGCCTCCTACACGCCCCCCACTGGGGAGCCCACAACCCAGGCATGTGCCCTTGGCCAGAACTGAAACTAGGACCCTTCAGTCCCCAGGCTGATGCTCTCTCTCTGAACCAAACCAGCTAGGGCTTAAAAAATTATTAATTATATATTTTACACTTGGTACTACAGTGCTTTTTAAATTTTTTTAAAATTTAAAAAATTTTGATTTCAGAGAGAAAGGGAGAGAGATAGATACATCAATGATAAGAGAGAATTATTAATCAACTGTCTCCTGTATGTACCCTTAGGGGACTGAGCCTGCAACCTGGGAATGTGCCCTTGACCGGAATTGAACCTGGGACTCTTCAGTCCGCAGGCCAATGCTCTATCCACTGAGCCAAACCAGTTAGGGCTTAATTTTTAATGGATATACAATTCATAGACAATAAAATTTACAATTTTAAGTATATCACTTGGTGATTCTAACAAAAGTTTACAGTCATTTAACCACTTCCTTAATCACCTGAGCCAGGGCTTTTTAAAAATCAAGAAACTAACAAAACCTCAACAGCAGTAAGAGCCATGAAGCCAGCTTATATATTTGAATACATACACAGTGTCAAATTGCTTTCCAGAAATTATTATACCAATTTATACATCTACTAGCAATATTTTATCTTACGGAAGTAATCAGAGATGGGACAAGGGTTTATCAATATACAAAATGTTTTTTGCAGCATTACTTATATCAAACAGAATTGTAAATAATATGTGTCCAATAGAAATGGTTAAAGACATTCTTAAAATGAAATTATATAGCCATTAAGATGACTTTAAATAATTATTAATTACATGGGAAAATGTTCTCAATATACTTCAAGTGGGAAAAACAAGTACAAAACTATAGATACTGGCCGAGACCAGTTCAGCTCAGTGGATAGAGCATCGGCCTGCAGACTGAAGGGTCACAGGTTTGATTCCGGTCAAGGGCATGTACCTTGGTTGCGGGTACATCCCCAGTGGCGGGTGTGCAGAAGGCAGCTGATCAATGTTTTTCTCTCTCATCGATGTTTCTCTCTGTCCCTCTCCCTTACTCTCTGTAAAAAAAATCAATAAAATATATATTAAACAACAACAATGAAAAAAACAAAACTATAGATACTAAAATCCTAATTATGCCAAAAACATGAAACAAAACTCAGAAACCTTTAGGTAAAGAAAAAACATTAGAAGGAAATATGCCAAAATAGCAACAAATGTAAACTTTGAGTTGTGGTATTATGTGGTTTTAACTTTTATGTTGAATTTTTAAAATAAAATAAACATGAATTACTTGAGGGAAAGCCTCTTTTTTTCATTTGCCTTTGTGACTTAGAGAGAAAATAAGTGGGAGGAAAAAATGGGACCATTAATGATTGTGCAGGTTTAGAACTAATGTGGGTTTTACTGAATCCAGTAGTATTACAGAACCTACGATGTATAGTCATTATTACCGGCCTGAAAGGAATCTGTTGTGAGAGAATTGCTGATCTGGAGTCACCTTCTAAATCTAGCAGAATCCATCCTCCTCCTTGTCAAATGGACACAGACAACAGGGGGTGAGTGTATGAGTGGGAGGGGGATTTGGGGAAGGTGATGGGTGGATAAGGACACATATGAAATACCTTAATCAATGAAGAAATTTAAAAAAAAGCCTTTTTAAAAAATATATATTTTTCTTGATTTTTCACAGAGAGGGATAGAAAGTTAGAAACATCAATGAGAGAGATTCATCGATCAGCTGCCTCTTGCACCCCCCCCACTGGGGATGTGCCCATAACCAAGGTACATGTCCTTGGCCGGAATCGAACCTGGGACCTTTCAGTCCGCAGGCCGACGCTCTATCCCCTGAGCCAAACCAGTCCCGGCTAAAAAAAAAAGTCTTAAGAAGCACTGAACTGACAGCAGTGACGACTGATGCTCTCTTCACCTACAGTTTAGTTGGGGCTCAGGCAACAGAGCGCTGTTGGCTAATACATTCACCTCCTCCTTTTCTTCTCCACGGCTAGCCTGGATTTCGAGAAGGCAGAGGGATTCCTTCTACTGGGAGAACAATTCCATCCCCATGGATCTGTTTCTTGGCCTCTCAGCTCACACAGCTAACTTAACGTGTCAACTGCTGCCAGCAGGGACTAGAACTCTTTAATATTGATTAACTTGTGAAGTGATAGGTAAGCTAGCTCAAAACCCAAACCAGGATGCTCATTTATTTGCAAGGTAGGATCATGTGAATCAGAAACACAACTAGAGTAACCGCAACTAGAGTAGGTAAATAAATAATGGGTACAGTTCATTGAAATACATCTAGGAACTTGCTTTTTTAAATGTTTTACAATAATGCAGGTTCACTTTGAACATTTAAGAGAAGTAATACTTCTCTCAATTCATATTAGCTTTGATAGCCAGTGCGATCCTGCTAAAATATAAGTAGGCTGTCATGGTTCTTCTTCAAACTCTATAATACATACAAAAACTGTACACAAATGTTTTAATCCTAACAGCCAAAAGGTGGAAACAACTCAAAAGTCCATCACTGACAAATGGATAAAGAAAACATGGTATATGCACATAATAAAATACTATTCAGCCATTAAAATAAATGAAGTATTGATATAGGCTACAACATGGATGAACCATGAAAACATTTTACTAAGTTAAAGAGACACTCACAAAAGACTATATGTTATATGGTTCCATTTATATGAAACCTACAGAGGCAGAAAGTAGATTTGTGGTTGCTTAGGGCTGGGTGGGGGGAGGTGCTGAAAATGCTCCAAAATTGACTGTGGTAATGGATGCATATATTTGTGAATATATTAAAAACCACTGAATTGTAAACTTCAAAGGGGTGAATTATATCTCAACAAAGCTGTTTAAAAAAGCCCCACATCCTACAATGCCCTTTAACTCACAGGGAAGACTGGTCCTCACAAAATCTATAGGCCCTCCACAACCCGGCCCGGCTACCTCTGACTGCATCTCCCTCTAGTTGTGCTCTGGCTCACTTCACTCCAGACTCTCCAGGCTCCTTGGACACACTGCACAGACCTGCCTTGGGACAGCTCTGCTGTGCCCGGTACACTCTTTCCCCTATTCGTTTGGCTTCCTCCTTCAAGTCTGCTCAAATCTTTTCTCACTGAGTAGTGTGGATCATTGCCACTGACCCCATGCCTTACCCACACCCCTCACACTGCTGTTTTTCTTCTCTCCCATGGTTTTATCACCTGACTTGCTATCACATTTACTTTATTTTTTAAGCTTATTGCTTATTTATATCTCCCTTCGCGTGAAAATGTAAGCTTCATGAGAGTTGGGATCTTTATTTTATTCAGAGGTATCCCAATGCCTAGGTAAACACTTAAAGAATGAGTAAGTTGATTATTGACTTTAACTATTCTGATTCGTTCAACAAATGTTTGTCAATTCTAGAACTCATAACTAGGCAATATGATTTCTTTTTCTTCCACATAGCTGCTGGTGAAAGTATTTGTGGTGCTATAGAATTCATGTCATATATGATTCCTAGAAATTGAAATTTGGCTTATTCCTCCTTAATTTAGGATATATTAGGCCAGTGTGACTAATGAGACAAATGAAAAAAACAGGGAGAGAAGCAATTCCATGAGAAGTGCAAGTACTGAGACAGGAGATGATGCGCACTGCAAACCTGCATGGACCCCGCAAGAAATGGACTAACTGCTCAGGGCGGACATACTGAATCCATTAACTGGTCCCTTTTCAGGGCACCTTTTCTCTCTTTAAAAAAACATGAAAGTTATGTCTTAATGAAGTCCCTATAATTAGTTACTATTGAATATTTTTTATTTTTTTGTGTTATGTACCAAAGGAGAAGGAAAAGCAATAAAAAATTCATATTACATTTTATATGGTTATAGAGAGAGAAGAAAATATTGACTGCCTCTCTATTCAGAAGGCAATTTTATTAAAATGTTGCTAAGGAGGTAATAAGCTTCTTTTCTTTTCCTTGCATAGTTATCAAATTGTACTGAATTTTATATTTTCTGAGTTAAAATATTTTCAGAATAAGTATATATTATTTCCGCAATAAAGAGGAAAATTATGTTAAGAAGTCAAATAATAATACAAAGTGAAAAAATACACAAATCCTCTAATGATTCCCAACGAATCCAAGTAAACATGGCTCAGTATGGCTCTCTCAAGGTTCCTAATCATTAAATTCAACTCTCATGCTGTGGTTCTCTAGTCCACTTTTCCTTCTCTATCTGTCCTACCTTTAACGTCCAAATTAATCTTCCTAAAATACCGTGATCCTCTTATAATTTCACTGCTTAAACTTTCAATGATTCCTCATTTTCTATAGAAGAAAGTAGAAATTCCACAACCTGGAATTCAAGGCCTTCCACAGTCATAACATTAACTTAAAAAAAAAAAAGTTTTTATTGATTTTTTTTTAGAGAGAGGAAGGGAGAGGGAGAGATAGAAACATCCATGAGAGAGAAACACTGATTGGCTGCCTCCTGCAGGCCCTCCACTGGGGATGGAGCCTGCCACCTGGGCGTGTGCCCTGACTATGAATCGAACTGCTGTCCTCTTGGTACATGGGTATGATGCTCAACCAACAGAGCCACACTAACTGGGAAACTTTTCTTCTTCTTTTTTTTTTTACAACTTTTTTTTTTTTTAAATCATAGCCTGAGGATATGTGTTTTTTGTTGTTTTTTCCTTTGTTATTGTTTTGTTTTGATTTTACTGATTTGAGAGAGGAAGGGAGAGAAACATCGATGTGAGAGAGAAACACTGATTGGTTGCCTTTCATACATGCCCTGAATAGGGATCGAACCCCCAACCTAGGTATGTGTCCTGATTGGGAATCGAACAAATAACCTTTTGGTGCATACGATAATGCCCTAACCAACTAAGCTACCTGGCCAGGGTTGGATCTTTTAAAAAAAAAAATCACCTTAGTTTTGACATTATCTTTCTAAGTTGTGGCTGCTTCAGAAGGTAATTTGAAAATTTTTACAAAACAGCCGAAACCGGTTTGGCTCAGTGGATAGAGCGTCGGCCTGCAGATTGAAGGGTCCCAGGTTCGATTCCGGTCAAGGGCATGTACCTTGGTTGCGGGCACATCCCCAGTAGGAGGTGAGCAAGAGGCAACTGGTTGATGATTCTCTCTCATCAATGTTTCTGACTCCTTATCCCTCTCTCTTCCTCTCTGTGAAAAATCAATAAAATATATATTTAAAAAAAAAAAGAAAGAGAAAATTTTTACAAAACAATTAAAAAACACACACTCCTCTTATAAATAGTACAATAACACCTTAAGGATTAACAAGAGCATACTTAATGTCTTTGGCTATCCAACTAAAAGCCATTTTCCCAACAGAATAGGGCATATTTGCCTTACAACCAACTCCAGAAACAGAAAGCATAACAGAAATATGATTGCTTGCTGTTCTTTCTCTATGTATGTTACAGCTTTTTACAACTTGCTCATGTAGTTAACTCTATCTAGAATGTGCTCTCCATTTTCTACCCAAAGCTCAACTTATAAACCATCTTCTCACATGAAGCATTTGCTAATTTCTTTTAGCCACTCAGAGAATCCAGGGCTCTTTAATCTGACTCTCCAGGCACTTATTTTCTTATTATTTTTTTTTAATGTTTTTTTTTTTTTTTTTCTTTCCTAACAGATAATGACTTACTTGAGTTAGGATCTTTATCTTATTCATCTTTGTATTCTTCCTACTAAATACTTATTGGATGAATGTAGTTAATCAATACAATAGAAAAATTCACAGAATTCAATATCATTATGTCTATGTATTTTGGAAGTGGCAATTAGATTTCTCCTCCTCTTAACATAGACAGGAAATCTAAATGGTCAACAAGTCAGGTAGGTCCTTACTCTTCAGGTCTTTGACCTAATTGAGTGATTTATGAACCTGATGGAGTACAGATCTTTCACCTCACACAAACTCTAAATGATTCTATGAACGGATGATGTATTTTGGTCGTCGGCAGTTCCCTTACCTTTTCGTGTTGTGCACTGTGGTTCCTCCCAGGACAATCCTCACTCCAGGAGTGGAACGGTTCAGGTTATAAACTGTTAGAGCTTCTTCATAGGTGGCTCCTCCAATCACAAACACAATGATATCCTGAGGTCTGCAATAATGAAGACATTTAATATCATAGGACAAGGGGGGGGGCAAATATTTGTTGTTACTATTATATACACAGTTTTAATTTATGAATCTTTTTTTTCTGGTGGAGGAAGCATAATTAAAGCAGAACAGAATGAAAGGTCTAAAAAAAGTTTTAATTATCTGAAATTGGCAGGAAACAGAGCAAGAAATGCTGAATCGTGATTTGCTTTCTGTTTAAGAGCGGATGTCTTATAATTTCTGTGCTGTGGATTTCAGAATAGCACAATAGTGTTTGCTGGAACCAAATGTAGAAATATTCTTTTATATTCAAGAGGCTGCAGAGTACTTCACTATGACATGATATCAATACAGCAGTAATTTATGCTTGTACTACACTTCTCTCTTCATGTGTAAGACCTCTGTCAAATATTTAATACAGTGCCATTACAATGGCCTCTGTCCAAGGACCTCAAAGTGTTTTGGAAACTACTGGTATATTTGGATGTCCTGTAACATGGGAACTAGAAACATTTAGGATTTTGAGAGTAAAAAAAGAATGTGACACAGAAATTATGACGCTTCTAGGAACTCCACCTCTTTTTAAAGTCTTTGTTTCTCAATCCTTTGATAAACCAAGAAAAAGAAACCATGGAAACGAACAAACCAAAAAGCCAGTGAGTATTGTTTTGAAACTGGACATGCTGACACATCAGCTCAGTCACTAGCCTCGTTTGGGCAGCTCTGTGCAGTTTTACTGTGTTTCAATTTTTATCAAAATGGCTTCATAACAAAAATGATAGGTCCTCCTCTTAGCTCCTTCTGCAGATGGCAACGAGAAGGAGATCATATTATTTTTACAACTGTTAAAGTTTGCCTGGTTTTTATTCTCTCATGCCATCAAAAGAAGATACAATTACTTAATCTTAGAAGTAAGACTTAATTTTGTTAAATCACTTCCTGGACATTATTTAAAACTACATCAAGCAGAGGCATCCTTTAGGAGGTTACAGCACAAAACGAAATAAAAACATCTTTAAGTATAAATCATGTTTGTCTACATTTTTTTGTTTTATTTTATCTCTCTGTATTCTTTCTAAAACAAAAACAACACAAAACCTTGAAGGAATTAACTGAGATAATATTAGTTCCTGTTGAATTCCTTGGAAAGAGAATCAGATACTGGGTCTATTTAAAAACGCTCCCTCTTACTTTAGTGCTCTTGTACCCCCGTTTCTCCCTAGAGGCAAACATTATTTCTTGTCTCTTTTGTATCCTTTCAGAAATATTATGTTTGTATATAAATACACATATATATGGCAATTAAATTGATCTATAATTTATGTGATTTCCTCTCGTAGTTCAAAGTTGAAGTAGATATGAGCATTAAATCTAAGTTATTTTTTAAAATATTTTTTTATTGATATCAAAGAGGAAGAGAGAGGGAGAGAGAGAGAGAAACATCAATGATGAGAATCACTGACTGCCTGCCTCCGGCACACCCCACAATGGGGATTGAGCCTGCAACCCAGGCATGTGCCCTGGCTGGAATCGAACTGTGACTTCCTGGTTCATAGTTCAATGCTCAACCACTGAGCCATGCCGGCCAGGCAAGTCTAAGTTATTAATCCAATATTGATCTGGTGCTTTACATATCAGAGGCTCTTCATAAACTTACAGGAACATATTACCACCACTGCCCATGAATAAAATGTTCTACACTATCAAGGCTTTGCCCTAAAATTCCTTGCCTCCAGTTACTGGCCAGTTTTTTTCTTGCTGAGGAAGATCATCTGATTAGGAAGAGTTGTATGATTAGGATGGAAATATTTTTCTACCAAGTATGATAAACTCTCAATTATTTGGGTACTGAATATTCAGACAAAATACAGGTTCTCTTCTTTTTCTCCAATTGATATGTGTTGTCGTTTCAACTCTTATTACTATTTCTACAGAAGGGCAAGAGGAATATGAACAGCTAATACTCAAATTCAGTTCTTGTCGAGATGTAGAACATATTTCTTAAGAAAGAGGATTGAATAAATTACAATTGGCTATAATTTTAAAAACACAAGACCCTATAACTTTTATCATAGTATAATATTATCCTCATTGTTATACATACTTTTTCCTTTTCTTTTTAAAATACAGAATGTTTCATGAATTTGCGTGTCATCCTTGCGCAGGGGCCATCCTAATCTTCTCTGTATCGTTCCAATTTTTAGTGTATGTGCTGCTGAAGTGAGCACTACACAATTTCTTTTTAACATTACATTTCTAAGGAGGTAAATTTTTAATTCTTTCTACTTTATTGGTACTACAAGTACCAATGAAATAATTAATGGCTTCTCAAGAACAGTCACAACTGATAAAGGATGAGTCCTGTGGGGAGGGGAAATACAATGTTACAAGAATGTGCCAGTAAGGAGATCGAGGATACTCTACCAATAGTTTGGTTTGTGTTGAATTATCTAGGGGTCAGTCTAGGTGGAAAATAGGGTGGGGAAACAGTTTAGTTTTACTAATAAAATCCTCAACACTAAAATAAAATTGTATTTTCAGAAAACGAGTTTTTTGTTTTTTTTACAGAAAGATTCCATATGCAGTGTTCATTACCTTGAAGGACAATTCTAGACTAAGAACTATTATGAAGTTTATCTTGAATAAACACTTATGAATTGCACAGATTGTTTCATTAGGAAAATGGGAGGGAAGTTCTTCCCTGCCAGGGGTACAGTGACTGTCGAGAGGATGCAGACAGTAACACTTTTGTTTTGAGTTCCTGATCTGGTAAGTCAATTATTTAAAAAGCAGCTGAGCAGACTAATAAGGATCACCCTGGGAAATGACGTTGCTTCTCTATAGCTGCCCTCTGCCCATCACTTGCCTCAAGAGCACATCTGGCTCTTATGGAATAAAAGGGCAAGAACTGGGAAGGAATAAACTCATGAGTGTTTCTAGCACAGCCAGAGAACACTCTCCTTCAGTCTGATCATTGCAGGGTGCCAGAGTATTTTCACCCGCCTAGAGAGGGAAAAACGTTATGGGTGGTAACTATGGGTGTAGGTTACCTTTTTTATTTTAATTTTTGAAAGAATATTTTTGTTGATTTCAGAGAGGAAGAGAGAGGGAGAGAGAGAGAGAGAGAAACATCAATGATGAGAGAGAATCATTGATTGGCTGCCTCCTGCACGCCCCCCACTGGGGATGAAGCCCGAAACCTGGGCATATGCCCTGACCGGGAATAGAACTGGTGACCTCTTGGTTCCTGGGTCAATGCTCAACCACTGAGCTGCACCAGGCTGGGCTATAGGTCATCTTAATGTAAGGACAAAACCTGGATACAGGGATAGACTCTCAGTGCTTGACTCAACTGTGTCCCTAACAAAGATGACTGTCACATTTGGTTATGAAAATATTAATAAATGTTTTCCTGAGCCTCCTACTACTCATTCTAGCTGGCTTAAGGAAAACATTACTGAAAAAAATATCCCTGACATTTATCCTTTTCCAATGAATTTTAAAGGTAGATGTTCTGATGAGGCCAACAGTAAAATATATAGCAAAACATTTTTATGATGGCTGATGCTAAGTGGAATACGCAAGTTCAATTCTTTGTACACATCTTCCTGTTCTCTGTAATTCTCTATAGCAACCAAAAGCATTAATTAATGCAGACAGCCAACATTAGAAAGCAGCAGCCAGTTCATGCTGTATATAAATAAACAAGGACACTTTGAGAACCCAACCAACTTACATCTTATTAGAAAATTAAATAAAAATTTTTTTTCATATATAGTATTTCTGGAAATCATTACTTCTATGCATGGGTAAGCAGAAAAATAAAACTTTTAAAAAATTGAATTTACTGAGATGAGATTGGTTAATCAAATTACATAAGGTTCATAATAAATCATCTGTATATTGTATTATATGTTCACTACCCCAATTGCTTATCTCACTCCAGTTATATCCTTTATTTGCTTACTAGTTTGCTGTCTACCTCCTTCCTGTAGTAAGTTCCTTGAGGGCAAGTACCCGTCTGTTCTGTCACTTCTATTTCCCCAGGATCTACAACAGTTCTTGACATATTGAAGACACCCAATAAATAGTCATTATAGAAAAGAATGAAGCAATTGAATTTTAGCTATATATGTATTTATGTAATTGTGACAAATGCTAACAGATGCTGACAACAAATGTGCATTTTGAGCTTTGGTTGGAAAAATGAATCACCCAGATTAGAAAGGTTTCCTATCACAATCTAATCTTATACAACACACTCCTCTGGTGATCTATGTCCCTTTAGTAATAAAGAGCTATTTTTTGTCCAGTAATTCTGACATAAAATTCATAAGAAAATCAATATTTTTACTTTTATCAAAGCAATCAGAAGGCTATTTAATAGAGTTATACTGTTTTGTTTTGTTTTTTCCTTTTCTTTTTGTGCTGTTTTTAAAAAAGCCTCTATGATAGGTGAATAGCTTTGGGCTGGTTCTGATTCTTCCCACTTAACTGACATATCTGAACCTTGATGCCAAGATTATTAGCTATTTTATCCGTATGAGTGTACTCTCTGAATTTAACCCCAGATATGCTGCCTCTCAACCTTGGATATTTTAAAAGTTGTTTGTTTTTTTCTGTTACCAAATTATAGAGGTTTTTTTTTTTTTTTTTAAAAGAATGAAGTGAAAAAATATATCATATAAAACAGTCACCTAAGTACCTCAAAACATTTTTTCCTTCCAGAAATTAATTATATTTATAAAACACTATTCTCCCAAGGCTCTTAGATTATGAGTAGCTGAAATTATAGAAGCCTTATACCAACCTTAACAATTATCACATCTATCCATCTAATATAGGGGTGTTGAACTCAATCAGAGAAGGGGCCAAAATCTAAAATCCAGCCTAAATCTCGGGCCGAATGGTTTACTGAACAGTCATAAACTGTCATTGTGATGGAAATGCAGCGGAGTGCAGTGATGACAGCGTGGTGTGGGCCACATTGCAAGGCCTGGCGGGACGGATTTGGCCCGAGGGCCTTGTGTTTGACACATGTGATCTAATAGGATTCAGCTACACATATTAGGTTGTTTATAACATGTGGTTTCAATAAGAAAAAAATACACAAAAATATAATTTATAACTAGATAGAATTTGTATGTATTTAAAAATCCAGGGTGGACTAAATAAGTTGTTTTGGACAAGTTTTGTCTTTATTTAAACAAGCAGACCACTGGATTAAAATGACAATTGCTTCCTTCAGTTAATACCCCAAAAGAAAGCCATCCGTTTCTTCTTTGTGACAAATGGCCTTTGTTAATGAGGTCTCAGTTTGTATGCTGGCCACATTTGGCAAAGTTCAGTCTTGACCAAAAATAGTAACCACCTGCTCTGGCTGGCAATCAAGCAGCAAATCTATTTTTGGCTTTAATGTTTGAAACTCCAAATGGTAGATGCCATGGAACTGAACCTTAAATGGCATAAGCAAACTGGTCTGATACTAAAGGGCAGAATGTAAGTATTTGGGTTGTTCCAAAACATCTGCTTCTTTATTCCAAAAGAAGTAATATTTCAGGTGTAGCTGGTGAATTTATATCTAATCTTGATACAAGTAAAACCAAAAGAATCTTAGAACTGAAATAATAGGGGAAGGAGGAATAGAATGATATAATTGGAGTTGTAGTCCCTTACATTACTCTAAATGTCCTATTTTCTTAGTTTCTGGTTTTTATTATTAATATCTTTATATCTTACCTGTCTCTGAGTGTGCTGGGGCCTAGATAAGGGTACAGACTTTCTTTAAGCTTTCCTTTGATGAGATGGTCCAGGGTCTCATGTAGGAAAGGTTGATGCTGAGTATACACATTTTCTATTCCCTAAGACAGGGGGAAATAGTTCTTATGTCATTTTTTGAAAACTTGCAATATACCGGTTTATGATATTCTTATCAGAAAAGAAGATGCACTCAACTCAATAGAGATTTCATGAGATAGATTCAAATGGGAATTTTAGGAGAATTTTATGATTAGATAATTTTTAAAAATATATTAATCAATTAGAACTGTTCTAATCTCATAATAACACTGTAATTTAAGGCTAGCTACTTTAAAGGAATTTTTAAAATGAAATTGCTGAAATCCTTTAGCATCTATTCACTAACTCATCTTTTTGTGAAAATGTTATATGACCAGTAGAACAAATAAAAGGAATGGATAATGTAGAAAAATAGACTAGACACACTCAGGAAAATGGAAAAAATTTAGGCAGAATTAGAAAGGCTAGCAGATTAAAACCAATTTTTGACCATTTTAAGAAAATAGGTCCATCTTTTTAAAAGATCTATAATTGTTTGCTTCATTTTTATTTTCCTTCAAAGAGAAACTACTAACTAATCTTAAGTTATAAACAAATGGAGTGAAACAGTGAGGACTAACAGAACCATCTGTCTTTTCACTCTTGGGTTTTCCTGGAAATATCTCAGTATTACCTGCTCAGCTATTTGGTCCAATGCTGATGCTGCTCCAATATAGATTGCATTTTTAAAAAAGCTTTCAGGAGGGTATCGACTTTAATTGCACTTAACTGACACAGTTCTCAATCAGCAACAATCTGGGAGTTACTTTGATCGTATTCATTCACTCTCTCGGACTTAGGGGTTTCAACTGTTGTTCATTTAGGACAGCGCAGAGATGTCATACCTTCAGTCCTTTGAGGAACTGTTTGGTAATAGCCACAGCATCTTTAGGGCTGAAGAGGTCACTTCCTCTGACCCGTTTACCACCATACTCAACAACTGCAGAGACGAGCTATTGAGGGGGATGGGGGAGGGAAAGAGAGATAGGGAGAGAGAACATCCTCTTACTGTTTGGGAATCAGGAAATTCATTTCATAAGAACTTTATTAAGGAAATGAAGACCTGTTTGGGGGGTTAATGTATAAGTGTGGTTACCTTTCGATATTTCTCAGAAACACCCCTATTCCTGAGGTCCATCATTAGCCCTGGCAGGCTGTTGCTGCTGTGTCGCTCATAATGCAGTGCATAGAGCATCACCAGGCGGGCAGCATCACATTCTGTCACTTTGGGGTTCTGCAGGAGCCTCTTTACATTCTGAAGAAAGATAGAACGGATATTTAACCCCCCTTCACTTCACTTGCGTGATGGTGTATAATATCTCTGATCTCATAATTATTTATTTTTTTAAAAATATATTTTATTGATTTTTTACAGAGAGGAAGGGAGAGAAATAGAGAGCTAGAAATGTCGACGAGAGAGAAACATCGACTAGCTGCCTCCTGCACACCCACCACCAGGGATGTGCCCGCAACCAACGTACATGCCCCTGATGGGAATCGAACCTGGGACTCCTCAGCCCGCAGGCCGACGCTCTATCCCTTGAGCCACACCAGTTTCGCCCCAGGTTCAATTCTGATCAAGGGCATATACCTTGGTTGCAGGCACATCCTCAGTAGGGGGTGTGCAGGAGGCAGCTGATGGATGTTTCTTACTCTATATCCCTCACCTTTCTTCTCCGTAAAAAAATCAATAAAATATATTTTTAAAAAATCTTCCTTACTAATCAAACGAGTCTTTTCTGAGGCTATGGATATGTATGCTTCAATGGCTGTACATAACAGTTTGGTTCTAGTGAAATTTTTTCTAAATAAAAATGTTGTTAGCCTGTAGAATAACTGGTTAGAAGTAGCTTATAGGTTAATGCTTGGCAATATATGAGCTTTTTTCTCTCTACTATGTTACAGTTACTATTCAAAAAAGCAAACCCCATCTCTACTAAAAAAAAACAACAAAAACCAAAAAAAACAACGCTCCATTCACTGCTTCATGACATATTATAATCTAAGGTCAAGCCAAGGAATGCTATACCCCATCTAGGGGTCAGGCCCCTGGCATCTACTCATTATCAAACAAAAGTTCCCTTTATAGACTATTTAAGTCATGTTGCAAAGAAATCCATTATGAATGGGGGAGTACAAATCAATTGCTCACTATAAAACCGTAATACCATGGGCAAGAAAACCTTCAAAAGATAACTTTAAAAAATGTAAAGTGGATCACAAATGGGAATTCATATTTTAAAAGTACTATCTTTCTTTTAGAGTGAACCCCTCCCCCCAAAAAATTTTTCAGGCAAGGAATTACAGTAATTTTTTCCCAACTGCTTACCATATGGTAGAGCAATACAAATAAAGATATTAAATTTGACTAGTGATTATTTTTAGTTCTATTGTTTTAAAGGAAAAATAAAATGATAAACATAAGGAAATTTAAGTTTAGTTATAGGGCAAAATTTTGTTTTTATTTAGTGAGAAGGAAACTCATTTTATTGAGAAAGACAAAGTTTTCATAGGAATATTTCTATTAGGCCCATGAAACAATAGAATTTAGTAGTGTTATTTAAAACTGTCTTTAGGGGGACCGGTTTAGCTCAATGGATGGAGCGTCGGCTTGGGGACTGAAGGGACCCGGGTTCGATTCCGGTCAAGGGCATGTACCTTGGTTGCGGGCATATCCCCAGTAGGGGGTGTGCAAGAGGCAACTGATCGATGACTCTCTCTCATCGATGTTTCTAACTCTCTATCTCTCTCCCTTCCTCTCTGTACAAAATCAATAAAATATATTTTTAAAAAACAAACAAACAAAAAAAAAACTGTCTTTAGTAGTATTGTTTAAAGTAAGTTGGTCAAGTTAAATAGATTGTGATACATCTTTACAAAGAAATACTAAAAAGAATGAGTCTTTAGATTTTTATCTGAAGCCATCTCTGAGATACATAGTTAAGTGAGAAAGTAAATGCAGAATTATGTGTACAATATGGTATTTGAATTTAAAAAGATTGGGAGATATACACAAACAGGCTTGCACAAACGCAGAATAACTGAAACTAGTAACCAACTCAGCTTTTACTATATATCTCTTTCACCAAGTACTTAACTATTTAAGAATCAAAATTTAAGACAATTAAAAATAATAAAGTCTGCCTAAGTTTTTGTGTGTGAGGATTTAAGAATACAGGGATAAAATTAAAGGCCAGAGTGGCTGAGATGGTTGAGGTCATTCATGAACTGAAAGGTCAATGGTTTAATTTCCAGTCAGGGCAAATGCCTGGTTTTCAGGCTCAACCCCCAGTAGGGGGCCTGCAGGAGGCAGCCAATCAATTTTTTTTTCTCTTTCCCTCCTCCATCCTCTGTCTGTAAATCAATAAAATATATATTTTTAAAAAGCGATGATAGAGGTTCTTTTCATAAATATAAAACAAATATCATCTTCCTGATTTTCAAAATGTTGATGTTTTCAGGGGAAATTCTGATAAACATTAAAAAAAAAGTAAAAGGCCAACAACTACCTATCCCAGTAAAGACCTGCTATAACTGAGCAACCACAGGTAGGTGCATTTCTTCCTTCTGCTTGTACCAGATATTTTTAAAAGTACCCAACATTTACAAAGCACCTAACATATGTGAATAATCTGACATATTTCATTGAATCCTCATAACAATCTAAAAGTTCAAAACCATTATCCTGATGTTTGGGCAAAGTAAGTAATTTTCCCAAAGAAACGGTGGAATGTAGAGACAGGCTATAAGCCAGGATGGTCTGGCTCCAAAGCCTGTGTTGTTTTCATTAGACCACACTGGCTTTATTTATAAAGTAAAATTGCAGCAGGAAAAGAAAGAGACTACGTTTTAGAATATTGGGTTCTTATCAATATGGAAATGTGCTTCTTATTAAAAAGCTACTACGTAGCTTAGAAATGGCTATCTCCCAAAAAACTTATTCCCAAGTTAACTTATTGTCAGTGATATCACACTGTGCCATTTCTCAGGAACCTTGGCATTATCTCCAATTTGTTCTTTTCTTTAAAAACCCCCCACATATTTTATTGATTTTTTACAGAGAGGAAGAGAGAGGGATAGAAAGTCAGAAAATCGATGAGAGAAACATTGATCAGTTGCCTCCTGCACACACCCCACTGGGGATGTGCCCGCAACCAAGGTACATGCCCCTGACCGGAATTGAACCTGGGACCCTTCAGTCCGCAGGCCGATGCTCTATCCACTGAGCCAAACTGGTTTTGGCTCCAATTTGTTCTTATTTCCTTCTATCCAAACTGTCACTAAATTGTTGTTTTCTCCCTTTGAAATGCCGCTTAGATTTTCTCTTATTGTACATTTTTACTACTATTGCTGAGCCCACTAACCTCACTGACTTCACTTTTTTCACCTCCAAAGTATCCTAACTAGATTAAATTTCCTAAAATACTGATTTTATCATATCAACTTTTCTACATAAGACCCTACCTGGATCTCTTTGCCCATCTCAGCAAGTATAAATTCCTTAGAAGCGTCTGCATAAACTGCTTCGTGTTTACCAAATCAATTTTATATCTTTATTCTCTTCCACATGTTCAACAGGTGGAGCTGTTTATTCTTTTCTGCTTACTGCTGCATCTTTGCTTCTGCCGCTATTCCTGACTGAAATCCTCCTCCAGATTCTACTCATTCTTTATAGTCTATCTTAATGGCACCTTCTTAGAAACTGTTCCTAATAACCTCAAATCTTATTGTCAGTATCACAATTTTGATTTAATTAAATACTATGTTGCAGCACTAATCACTAATTCTTGCACTAGCTACATTGAATTATTCTCATATATATATATAACATCTCCATGCCTGCATTCTCTCTGCTGAGAATTTCCCCCCTTTTCTCTGGTTGGTACACTCCTCCTCCTCATTTATTTGTCTAGACTCACATCTAATGTCATCTTCTCTAAGAAGCCTCAACTTTAGGGAAAACCGTTGTCCTTTCTGTGTTTCCATATTCCATTGGAAATACCTCTAGAATAGCACTTATTGCACAGTATTACAAATCCTGGCTTAAATTTCTCTCTCCCCTAACATCATGTGAACTCTTTGAAGGGAAAGATGGTATCATACTGATTTTTGGACCTGTAGATCCTCATAGCACCATGCACGTGTAGCGCACATTCATGTGTTCGTGTAATGAAAAACAGATGTTCAGTAATGAAAAACTGAGATAATGCACTTAAATTTATTATATCTTTTCAAATCTTCCTAACAACCCAGTGTGATAAATATCATTATACCTATTTTTCAAATGAGGAAACTAGCTCAGAGATTAAGTCAACAGCTCCAGGTCACAAAGCCGGTAAGACCTTCTGATTTTAGTCTAGTATTCTTTCTAGTAGATCAGACTGCCCTCCGAAATGTTCAATTAATTGCCTGAACCCTTTTATTGCACATTATTCTTTTATGGCTCTTATCATGTATCTATCTTAATATTAAACTGTATACTTGTCTCAATTCCTCCTAAGACTGTCAATTCCGTGTTGGTGAAGAAGGATTACTTGCCTTAGTATCTCTTGCTCTGCCTGGCACAGGGCCTTACACATAGTAGGTGCTCATCAAATGGGACTGAATAGGTACCTGGAGAGCACTAGAATGGTCATTTTGACAGGCCAGTTCTTGTTCAACCTCTGAAACCTCCAGCAGATTCCGCTCACCGACCAACCGAGACAGCTCTCCAACAACTGTTACGTGCTTTGATACAGTCCCAGACATCTTCTTGAACTGTGGGTAATTCTCAACGAAGGCCTGTCATGGGAAAAACATCAATGGGAGTTCTATTATTACTTGACCAAGGATAGGCATATATGAAGGGGGGGGGGAAATCAGGGATTGTTCTGCCAAGAAAAAGGCATCTATAGCTTTCAATCACATGGCATTTTGCATTTTGGTATGCCTATGAAGAGAAGAACTGGCATACGTAAGCAGACTGAGTATTTGAATAGTCCAAAGGTGACTAAAGAATGGGAAGAAGTTTATGGCTTATTACGAAGTTTTCACTATATTGTTTCCCAAAGAGAAATATTACAGAAAATACCTCAAACCAAACTAAATGGATTAAGGTAGAAATCAGAATAGCTCCCAAACTTGCATGTTAGTCACCCACATACATGTTCAGTTTACCTTCATGTCTGCTATTGATTCCAGCTTTTGCTGTTCTTTCGGTTTCTTCTTCTGAAAGTCTTCCATGAGATTCTTTATATTGCTACCAATCTCGGCAAAGTTCAAGTACATATTCTGTGAAAAAGAAAGTTGGAAACACAGTTCTATCAACTAGTCTGAATTTCAGACAGCTTTAAAAGAAGTGAAAAAGAATTCTGAGTACAGTTAGAATTAAACGGCAAGAAAATTCCATTCTAACTAGCAAATCTGGGCATTGGTCAGGACACTGGTGATGAGTACCAGTACTATTCTCACAAAGGGCTACGGAGGTAAGTAAATTGGGTTCTGATTTTAAAAGTGGGAAATCACCCCTTCCCCACAGCTGCCTCTCAGACATGGCTGGAAACTTTTGCGGGAACTTGAGGGTCTGCTGAATCAAGTGATGAAGGCTTAGATCTGGATGTGTTGAGTTAGTATAGCGCTGGGGTGTTGATCTGTGAGTGCCTTGGGTGGGGCCTGGATGAGGCTGGTTGACCTATTTGGAAATGTTTTTTGTGTGAAGTGTATCATTGGGCATGTGGAGGTATTATTGATATGAGAAAATGCTAAGTAACTGATTTACTATCTGAAAAGGGATTTACTATCGGGGAAAGGAAGGGAGGAAGAGACTGAACATAAACTGTGCACCTATGGATGAGAACAATGGGGGATGGGGAGGGGGCGGAGGGTGGGGTGGGAACCTGGTGGAGGGGGGAAGAAATGAGGAACCTTTGTAATATTAATAATATGAACAATAAAGATTGATTAAAAAAAAAAGTGGGAAATCAAGTATGTGATTTCTGTGAAAGAAATATTGTTGGGGGGGAGGGGGGCAGAATCCAAGTCTTCTGCCTTCCCTTAAGATGCAGCTTATCCACATCGGATGGCTCCATCATCCTTCCACATGAATTCTCAGAAGTCAATATTGACCATCTTACATAAAAACATATAAACTCAATTAAAAACCACTTACATTAGCATAGAATTCATCGTTTTCAGCAGATAGGACCACCTCTCTTAAGTCTTTACTGATCCCTGGGACTCTGGAAAGATCAATCCGATTGTTGTTTATGCCCAGTAGTTCATGGACCATGGCTTGATATGTCCACTAAATAAAGAATCGTGACAAAAAGTTTGGTCACTGATAAAACATGAAAATAGTAAATGTTCAGGAAAACAAAGACGAATACCTTATTCTTAATAATTGCTCTTCTTTACATGGAGATTCTCTCTTTAGTTCAAGTTTTATTGGTATTTTGTGCTATACTATTAAGATTGTCATTTTAATTGGTTAAACATCCAAAAATCAAAATACTCTTAGATTTCACGGTTTGGAAGAAGGGCAGCAAGATTAATATTCCTGATAAAAAGGAAAATTAGATCCATCATTAGCTCCAATTTTGGCCTGTGAATTAAGGGTATATTTTTGGCTTCACGGATAGGGCTATATTGGTACTGTAGTTACAAGCTGTACCATTTCCTGTACGCTTCTGTGGTTTTCTGCAGCATGAGAAGTGTATTCTTGCAGGTCTGAGTGGTGCTATATTTATCCTGGGAACACTAATATTATCAGAAAAAAACCCTTATGAGTTGATGAAAACACACACATTCAGAAGCTTTATATTTTTACCTCAAATGAATTGTGAAGAGGGTTGGTTTCCAATCTTACAAATGTGAACTTATTTGGTAAAACTGGAAAGGAGAACCCCCCAATTTTTCCTTCTGACCATTTTTGGAGAATGGGTTACTTTTAATCATAGACCCATTGGACAAAACTAAGTATTTTCCATCAAATTACCCTCTAAACCTAGAATCTAATGCTAGAAATATTTACGTATATATATCCCATCTTTTAAAAATCTAGATTTATTAAGAAAGAACTTGAGGTTATAAAAGATGTTTTATTTCCTAAAACATCTGCCAGATGAATCCTCAAAACAACTAGTTTCATTAGGCATTTAAAATAAGCACAACAAAATGTCTTATGCTCCCATAGACAGCATCCTGTGCATGCTTCTGCCATCAGCACTTACTCTATAATTAAATTATCTCTTTTCTTCTCTCCCCATTGGACCACGAGCTCTGTGAGAGAAGAGATTGTATTTTTTAACTTTTTATCTCCAGGACTTAATACAATAGCTGCCACATTAATAGGTCCTTAGTTAAATTTGTTGAATGAATAGTTGCTTTTCTTTGGCAAACAGAATTATAGGCCATCATTTCTCTTTCTAATTTTCTTTTTATATTATCAAAATTTATTTAGTGAACAAATACTACTTTGAATTTTAGGAATATAAGCCTATTGCATCATAGAACAGTTGCATTCAACAGCTAATGCACTATTATAAGCTGGGAAGGAACTGGAATATAGACTGTGCCTTTGCCTACAAATTCAAAGCCACTATTAAAAAAGCATGTACTACGTGCAAAGCTCTGTGCTTGTACTTTCACAAACACGGGTAAGGAATATGCCTTGAAGGAATATGTAATCTTGGAGAGTAAAAACACAGGCTCAACATGATGAGTGCAGCATGAGACACACGAGAGACACAAAATTGGCCAGAAATTTTAGGGGGAAAAAGGATGTGTCTGACTAAAAGAACAAAGGCTACAAGATGTTTCGGGTGACTTTTAAGGAGAAGAATTTTGATAGGTGAAGTTGGGAAGACAAGGTATTCCAAACATTCCAGAGTGGAACAGGTCACAACATGAATAAAATGATGACAGGAAACCATGTGTAGCATATCTGCAGACGTGAGCTGTAGGTTTTCTACAAGGTTGGGCCCATATTTGTCAAGATCAGGAATCTGTATTTAACTCAGTAGGCAAATGGGAACCAATGAAAATTTCTAAGCCAGCCATAACCAGGATCAGAACTGTGCTTTGGGGAAATTAATTTAACATTGTGTCTGTGAAATATATTAGAGTGGGATGAAATGTAAAGTGGGGAGAAGTAGGTGGCTCTTTCAGTATTCCCATGAATGATCTGAGTCTACACCATGGTAACAGCAGTAGAATGGAAAATAGCAGACAAACACTGGAAAAGTAGAGTCTATAGGACCTAGAGGTTGTCCTGATTCGGTGTTGGGGTAGTAGTAGAAAGGGACAGGAAGGATGAGGCAGAAGAAAGAGTCAAGGATTACTGTGGCTAGAAGAACACTGATATAAAAAAAAATCAAGAGCCAAAACCGGTTTGGCTCAGTGGTAGAGCGTCGGTCTGCGGTCTGAAGGGTCCCAGGTTCGATTCTGGTCAAGGGCATGTACATTGGTTGCGGGCACATCCCCGGTAGGGGGTGTGCAAGAGGCAGCTGGTCGATGTTTCTCTCTCATTGACGTTTCTAGCTCTCTATCTCTCTCCCTTCCTCTCTGTAAAATATCAATAAAATGAAAAAATTTAAAAAAACAAAAACAAAAAATAACACCAAGAAATATAAGGCAAAAACAAGAGCTGAAAATGAGGCAAAAAAATGGGCCATCCTGTTCATCTCCACATCTGCATTTTGATGAACGGCACTGAAATCATCCTTATGTTATGCTAACAAAGGTTTTTGCACCTGGTTTAGCAATGGGGTGATGGCGTCATCGCAGCGATCTAAAATAAGTAGCAATGGAGGAACCTCAGTCCGCCGGAACTCAAAAAGTTCATATTCTTTTGTTATGACTTGCTGTGAATGAGAAAGAGAGTTTGATTAACCAATCAGTTGCAGATAGCGATGATATAAATAGTAAAATAATACATAAAGAACTACATTTAACAAAAGTTCTTTGTATCTTCATGGCCTTCCATAAAAAAAAAAAAAACCCTCATAAAAAACAAACAAAAAAAAACTTGATAAAGTTTAATAACATTCTATTTCAGAGGATAGAATTTGAAACTCTATTTCACAGGTGATTTGATTGGATCAAATTAAGTTAAATAGCTTAGAAATGTTTCTTAGGTTACACCTAAGAATTTTAACTTTAATTTGTTGCTTTTGTTGTTGTTACTTTTTGGTTCTGAATTACAAAGACCTACCTCTTTGCCAATAAACCTAACACTTCATCTCCTTGATTGCAGATAAAATATTCCTTTAGTTTTTGAAATATCACAAGGAAATGAGTGGTCTGGTGTTCTGGAACCAGGCGAGGGAACGCCATACCTTAACACATTCGGCCAGTCTCTTTGCTGCCTCCGATGAAAGCTGATAGCGAATCATAGGGCATTTCTTCAGGGACAGAAGGAGAGCTGTCAGTCCTTGAGTTGTTCTGGACAGCTGGGCTGGATCCCAATTTCGACCCTTTTTAAAAATTCAGAGAAAACACTTAAATTTTTTCTTACTTGCTGAATTAACTCCCACCTGATAAATAAACTTAAAAAAAAAAAATCTTTCCTTCCATACCTGGCAGCAACCCAAAATATTGAGGGAAAACAAATGTGGATTCACAGCAATGTAATCACCATAAAATTCCTGCAAATAAAGCACCAAGATAAGCAAGTTATATTCCATAAGCCCCAACTGTATCAAGCAGCAATATTTTCACATGTGATCTGATCAAATTTGAGGAAACGTAAGTGTAAAAGATAGAAAAATTGATCAATTAAAAGTTAACAAAAAGTCAGTGTGGGGAAATTAATAAAATAATTATAAAACAGCAGCAATAATAAATTTTTTGTAAAAACCCCACAAAAGTTATAGAAGTATACATATTATATGCCTGGAGACCTCTAGGACTTATCAATTAGTAAAAATAAAACATTGCTATAGGGTATACAATGTCACACTCAAGCGAAAAAGAAATTTGCTTTCCAGTGCATTCTCATGAGAGAATATGGTTCAAAAGAGGTCATTATTTTTTATTCATAAGATATCCAAAATTGTTTATTTGTGGTCCTTAATACAATATTCTTCAATTAGCTTATAAATGTATTCAAATGTTTTGATAAATGTATTGGAGAACACTAAACTATTTAAGAAGGGTAACATGGTATGTTCTAATATGATGTATTATATAGCATGCAGAATAAATATTTAGGGGGTTCCAAATTTTAACCTAATGACAAATGTCTATTATCACCCAGAGCAAGCTAACCACAAACAGAACTTCAACAAATCCCATTCCCATCCTTTACTTCCTATTCTATCCCAATTAAACTTGGTCCTAATAGATGAATCTTCTTTTTTTTTTTTTTAAAGGACATTTTTATTGATTTCAGAGAGGAAGGGAGAGGGAGAGAGAGAAACATTGATGATGAGAGAGCATCATCAACCAGCTGCCTCCTACACGCCCCCTACTTGACTGGAGCCCGCAACTCAGGAATGACCTCTTGGTTTCCGGGTCGACGCTCAACCCCTGAGCCAAACTCGGCTGGGTTAGGTGAATATTCTTATAGAGTGGCTCATAAAACTATCATAGGATGGCCCTAACTGGGTTAGCTCAATGGATAGAGTGCCAACCTGCAGACTGAAAGGTCCCAGGTTCAATTCTGGTCAAGGGCATATGCCTTAGTTGCCTGCACATCCCCAGGAGTTGTGCAGGAGGCAGGTGATCGATGTTTCTACCTCTCTATCCCTCTCCCTTCCTCTCTGTAAAAAATCAATAAAATATATTTAAATAAATAAAAATAAAACTATCATAGGACAGACTTGATTTTATTCCCAACTCTGTGAAACTTAACCTACTAATAATAGGATCCAGTACCAGCCCAATTTCATGATTTCCACTGACTCCTTTAATTCTGTTCCCATCCAGTTTGATATATCTTCCAAACTTTCTAAATAGAAGTATAGTCTGGTGCAGTGCACACTGGTTGTGTCTGATGAGCAGCCTCCATTCTTTTGAGACAGCACTTTCCCTATTTTTAGACTCAAATCTTTTTTTTTTTTTTTTTAATATATTTTACTGATTTTTTACAGAGAGGAGGAGAGTTAGAAACATCGATGAGAGAGAATCATCAATCAGCTCTTGCCCTTGACCGGAATCGAACCCGGGACCTTTCAGTCCGGAGGCCGATGCTCTATCCATTGAGCCAAACCGGTTTCGGCATAGACTCAAATCTTTAAAAAGGTCCAATATAAGAGAGAGTTAGAGGACCAATATGTTTACCTGAACCTCAGCCACAACTTCCTGTTCATCAGCTTCAGCTAATGACTTCACATCACTCTTGCTGATCACATTACTGAAATCTGAAACAGACATATGAGTTGTTATTGACTAAAAGGAGATCATCATTGCTGCAATTAGACATAACTGGGCCTGACACTTAAAGCCTAATGAATAAGGGAAGTTTAGCACACAATGGAGTAGAGGTCAAAGTTGAACACCTTCAAGTTGGAATGAACAGCACAAAGATGTTTAAATCTATAAGTTCATAACAGTAATTAAAAAAAAAAAAAAAGACCACCATTGTAAGCATTGGCAGGTGCTATGGAACCAAGTCTTATAATGAAAATAGAAGGAAAGGGTAACATGATGATAAATAAAGGGAAAGAAGTAAGCTTTTATCCTTTTATACATAAACTGTACCACCAGATAACCAAATAGTAGATGAGGGGAAATTTCTCTTTATAGAAATATTTCAGCTGAAAAAATAAAGAAGGAAAGATAATGATATGACAGAATTAAAACATTATTTTTATCAGCTCCTAATGAATCAATGGTTGGACCTAGGTACTGAGCATCAACCACTGCTAATATCACAGTAAGAAAAGATCAATGGAAGTATACCACACTACCTATGAAGTATTCTTGTCAAAAAGAAATCAAATCTGAATCTAATTAAACCTCTACATCCAGGTACCAACTTATAGAAACTGGAGGACTTGAATTAATCTCTAGAGAATTATGCTGAATAAAAAAAGAAAAATCAAACCCCGAAGTTTATATGCTATATGATTCCATTTATGTAACCTTCTTAAAATGCCAAAATTATAGAAATGGAGAACAGAGTGTGGTTTCCAGGAGTTAATGAGGGGGTTGAGGGGAAGAAAAATGGCTAAAAAAGGATTCTTATGGAGATGGAAATGCTTTGTATCCTGACTGCATCAATGTCAATATTCTGGATATGATACTGTACTAGAGGTACCTAAGATGCTACATAGAGAGAAAGTGGGCAAAGGATATACAGGATTTCTGTATTAGTCTTATAACTATATGTGAATCTACAGTTCTCTCAAAATAAAATGTTTCATTTAGAAAAGAAAACCTATGCCCTACGTAGTTTGGTTCAGTGGGTAGAGTGTCAGCCTGTAGACTGAAGGTCCCAGGTTCCATTCCAGTCGAGGGCACATGCCCGGGTAGTGGGCTGAATCCCCAGTAGGGGGCATGCAGAAGGCAGCTGGTCAATGATTCAGTCTTATCATTTATGTTTCTATCTCTCTCTCCTTCTCCCTTTCTCTCTGAAATCAATAAGTATATATTAATAAAAAAGGAAACCTGTGACTATTAGTCAAAACCAACCAACCAACAAAAACAAAAGTAGGAATACTGAAACTAATAAAATTACCTATTTTAACCTCTTGGGGTTGTTGTAAGGACCAGATGAAATAATATATAAGAAAGTTCTTTATAAAATACAAACTCTGCCGAAACCGGTTTGGCTCAGTGGATAGAGCGTCAGCCTGCGGACTGAAAGGTCCTGGATTCGATTCCGGTCAAGGGCATATACCTTGGTTGTGGGCACATCCCCAGTGGAGGGTGTGCAAGAGGCAGCTGATGGATGATTCTCTCTCAGCAATGTTTCTCTCTCATCGATGTTCCTGACTCTCTATCCCTCTCTCTTCCTCTCTGTAAAAATTCAATAAAATATATTTAAAAAAAAAATACAAACTCTTATCATGTGTATCACAGACTCTAGTCTAAACCCTAAAACTCTATCCCTTCAAATTCTCAAATGTCCTACATAATGAGTGTTAAGTTTTGTCCTTGGTTTTAGAAATGGCTCAAATAAATTACACTAAACTCTATAAAGATCAATAACGACATCTAGAGGAGAATGGATGTAACTGCCAAAGCAGTATGTATTGCATTAAAAAAATCCGTATAAATGGTATAGTAACTACAAAACTAGTTTCTTTCCAGGCCTCTACTTCTCTATCTCTAGCCCCACCCCCCCACCACCAAAGTTAGGCACATAAGAGATATCTACTTGATGACTTGTACTTTAAATTCTACATAAAGAAGCAACAATAAATCTCTGCCTTTCTAACCAACTCAAGTATACCCTCTCTCCAAGTAAATGAATTAGCTTCTATGCCTGAGTTCATAAAAGTGTAAAATAGGAATAAGAATACACTTTGTGAAAATTGGCTACTTATAACTTCTTGCCTTACAAAGAATTTTAAAAGGCAAAGTTAAACAAAAATTTTTTTACCCAAACAATTAATGGTGAATGGAAATCACATTAAGCTTTCTGAAACAGAGTGTTGGCTGTAAGACTTTTAAACTTTGAAAGAACATTAAAAAAAACACCACACAGACTTTTTTAGTGATGGATTCAATTAACTTATTGAGGAGACAAAGAGACCAACAGAACATTCTAGCTAGGATATAGTTATATGATTGAATAGATGAAATAATATACTTACAAATAAAATATATACTGTATTTGGGTCTTCGGAGCTCCTGAATCAGATAATCCACATTCTCCTAGAAAATAACAAAATATGAGAAATGCTTAAGTGTAAAGCTAATAAACACCATCCATTGATTTATTTAAGTGTTTACTGAGAGTCCACTGTGTGCTAAGGTCTAGATTAAGTATATATATTTTGGGAGACTGAAGGCTGGGGATGAAAAAAAACACAATAAATATAATGATAAAGAATCATATGTAATTTTAACTAGCTGTGCTAAATTGGCCAAATTAAGATTAAAAATATATAAAGAACACAGATGTTGAAATACAACATAGAACTGATAATTCTGCAAATGTGCTTCAAGCTGCTTGTCTATAAATTATTATATTCATCTATAAAAATTATTATGCAGAATATCAAAACATGTCTAGTCCTTTTAAAACCAATAGTCAAGATAAAATATAGTTAATTATATTTGGCTCTTAACTTATTGGTACCTAAGACTGCACAACTTCAGTGTTTGGGAAGTATCTGCAAATAGTAGGCTAAGACCCTTTATATATTATTTTAAAGTAAAATAAGAAATTTAGAAGTAAAACAGTTCATTTTTTATATGGTCAAAACATTAGAATTCCCGTTGTGTAAGATTATAATGCAGGTCTTAACTATTTTTGATATCATAACACAGGGTTAAATTTCAGTATAAATTTGGTCCCCAAACTATACATGACATAAAATATCATTTTTTTAAAAATATATTTTATTGATTTTACACAGAGAGTTGTTGAGAGGGACAGAGAGTTAGAAACGTCGATGAGAGAGAAACCTCTTGCACACCCCCCATTGGGAATGTGCCCGCAACCAAGGTACATGCCCTTGACCAGAATCGAACCCGGGACCTTTCGGTCCAAAGGCTGACGCTCTATCTACTGAGCCAAACTGGTCCCGGCTAAAATATCATTTTTGAATGTTAAAAAATCCACAATTTTCTTACAGAATTAAAAATAATGTAAGTAATGCACACTGCATGTTAAGTGGAAAAAATACTTTGCAAATTGTCATTTAGATTAAAAATACCTTAAAAAGTAGTGGAATCTTAAGGGAAAATTGCTTTTAAGAACATATTTTGAGTATGACAGACTATATACATTCATATACTTTTTAAAAAATATATATATTTTATTGATTTTGTACAGAGAGGAAGGGAGAGAGATAGAAAGCTAGAAACATCAATGAGAGAGAGTCATCGATCAGTTGCCTCTTGCACACCCCCTACTGGGGATATGCCCGCAACCAAGGTACATGCCCTTGACCGGAATCGGACCCAGGTCCCTTCAGTCCCCAAGCCAATGCTCTATCCATTGAGCCAAACCGGTCTCAGCTACATTCATATACTTTCATATATATATATATATACACACACACACACCAGGATGGAGATATATATATATATTAAAGAGGTTCTCCAATAAAAATGTTAGGAAATTTTGCACTAGATGATCTCTAAGATCCTTCTCACAACCATAATGTTATGACTAAGATTTACAAGTGTGAAACAACTGGAAACTATTATAACACAGTATTCATTAATTCAGGAATGGCTTATTGAGTATACACTATGTGGCAGGCATTAGAGACATAATAGTGTGACAAAACAGACCCATCTCTGATCTCATGGAGCTTACTGCTGGTAGGTGAGATACATATTAATTAATCAGACAGAAAATATGATACTTCAACCATGACAAATAATAAGGAGAGGAAGATGGTGCTGTAATGCTATGACAAGAGGGGTTGACCTGGTCAGCAAGGCCAGAGAAGATTTGCTTGCAGTGAAGTTCCTGACAGAGGAAGAGCCTGTGCAAAGGGCCTGTGGCATGATGGAATCTAGTGTACTGAAACATTAGTGTGACTAAGAGAAGGGGGAATGGTTTGAAATGAGGCTGTAGAAATGATAGGAACTAGACCACACAGAATCTTGCAGGCCACTATTAAGGAGTTCTATCTTTATTATAAAACTAATGAGAAGTCATTCAAGTTTTCCAAGTGGGGCGAACACGATCAGATTTGTATTTTGGAAAATACATAATGTACAAGCATGGTAAAAGAGTATTTTGGAGTTGAAGAACAGGAATATAAAGTAAGAGAATATACAAAATAAGATTGAAATAGTTAAGGGTTTTTAAAAGAGGACTTAAGCAAGATTTAGATGGTGGACAACAACTGATAGAAGGCTAGAGAATCTCAAATGAGGGGAAGAGAACAGAAATGAAAACACAGAGGGATGACACAAAGACCTAGTGGCTTAGTGGAAGAGCAAAGGTGGGACACTGGAGTTTGGATACCTAAGGGCACACCAGACCTGCTAAAGGAGTGCTTTGAGGAGTAAGCTACTAAATAAAGATTTAATCATGAGCCATTATAGGTTTCTGGGCATAGATGCAAAGAAAATGATAAAAACTCAAAACGTTGATATAAGTATATAAGATTAAGTGGCAATGCTATTCAGTGAGAGGAGGTTAATCCAGGAATAAAGTGATCCGGGTCTGTTAGGGAGTAGCTTTGAAAGTATCTGAGAATCTAAAAGACATTTTGAAGGAAAAAAACTGGCTGTACGGAGTAAACTATGGGAAGAAGGAAAGTCAAGGTTGCAACTCTGATAAACCAAGATAATTATGATGCCAAAAACGATAATACAAATTTATTTTGCCTTCTTAATGCCTTCAGATCATAGCGTTCTGTATTTGCCTGGGCAGATGGCAGATGGCAGTTCAGGATGCAGTACCTTCGTAGGCCGAAGAAAACAAATTGCTTTCAGGTGTTTCATGGTCTCCCGATTCGGAGAATCAATGCGTTCAAAAAGGTACACTTCCTTCTGAAGAATCTCTGATTGTGTGTATACCATACTCACTATACCAGTCTGTAAAGAAAAAAAATTACTAATATTATGATGGCCCAGAATAATAAGAACAAGCAACAATATCCCAAGGCTTAAACTTTTTTTTTTAAAAAAATTAATATTTAACTGGATATCTTACCTACTAAAATATAACATTTACTGAGCATCTAAACATGTATGTAATGTACCAGAATGCTCTCTGTAAATATAGACAATCCATACATGCCCCTCCCCCTATTTTTCTATTACCTTAAAGAGGTTTTTATTTATAATTTAAAAAATTGCAATCAACAAATAATAACCTGTCATCTCAGCTTGAGCTCCAACATCTTTACTTTAAAAACACAATGTTGAGTAGAAATAACAGGATCATCCCCAAAAGCCTTTCAGGTGCTGTCTCACTTATTTCTTGACAGAAACATTTAGAAAAGGATTTCTATTCCAAGAAATTGTCTCGGGGTACAAGAAAAAAAAAAAAAATCTCTGGCGGTGGCTAAAGCCATTTAGTCTAAAAACCGACTGGGCAAGCTTAACACAATCTTTAAATTCCGTACAGAACTGACCCTCTTTTTAAAAAATCTCCAATTAAATACCAAATCCTGCCGTGGAATGTGACCGGCTATTGTAAGGGAGGGAGGATTCCCACACGAATCCCGGGCAAAAGCGAACTCACCGTCTCTTTATCCATGAGAAGCACTTTCATCCCCGGCCCGCTGTCCTCTATCATTTTGGAAATGTACTGCTTCACAGCCAGAACCACGTTCATGGTGGCGAACTGACAGGTGAGCCCCACAGCCCTTCCCGCCCCCTTTTCTTCTGGCTACAGGAACCCGGGGCTCCTCCGCCTGGTCTCCGCCGCTTCCTCCCCGCCCAGCCTCGGCTTCCGGAAGTCCGGGCGGCAACGCTGCTGGGACTTGTAGTTCCGCTGCGACTTGTAGTTCCGCTGCGCAGCCGGGAGCACAGGGCCTGCGCGCCCGGCGCCAAAAAGCCCGGCTGAGAGCCTGGGGGCCCCTCTTCCCTGACGGGGCTGTTGACCCATCAGCAGCGGCAGGTGTTGGAGACTGGGACTCCCAGACCACTGGCTTCCCGGCCGCGGCCTGAACCCCGCCTGCTGCCTTGTGGGGAGAGGGTGGCGCCTCGTGGGGTGCGGAAACTTGGCATAAGGCCACCTCCGAGGCAAGAACGGAGCATGGCGGTGGTTACTCCTTGCCATTCATGAACGCTTTCTGGAGTGGCAGTGAAGGGCGAGGGGAAGGGAGATGGCGTTGTGCTCCAGGCTGCTCCGGACTCAGAGGACGACACTTAGATCACACGCGGTGCTTGCTAAATAGCGGCGGGTTTCAGCTTCACGGAGCCATTAGGGCGAGGACAGGGCCCCGGCAGAGGGAGGTCCAGATTGGCGTTCGGAGGACGGAGAGCATCTGAAATCGAACAAATGCTTGTTGAATGAATGAACAAAGGGAACGCCCTTTAGGGGTGTTTTGGGGGAGGCCTCAGATCTCCCAGGAGGGCCTGGACCTGGGGTCGGCCGCGGGGACTCCGAGCCCCGAGCGACCCCGGGTTCAGCGCGCTGGGCGATTGGGCACCGCGGGCTCCCGCTGCGGGGGATGAGGGGGCCGCACGTATCCGCTGGGGCTAAAACCAAGTAGCATTGGGATGTTCGGGGAAAACTCACAACTTTTGATTTAAGAAATGGCAAAAACCTGAACAGCAAAATAAATCTTAAAGCCATCAACTTCACAAAATCTGCATTTGTGTTTACATCCCACAGGTAGTCTCTCCGCACCGTTTGTCCATACGGAGGGTAAATGTTAGCTTCCCCGCACCTACATCGAGGAATTGTAAAATCAGGGAAGACAACAAGAAACAACTGCGAGAAATCAGTGACTCTAAATGCTTGTAAATAGCTCCACCAAAATAATGACCAGTGTTTGTAGGCGTCAGTGTAATCAATAGGTTCAAAATGATCAAATCCATCATCCTTTCATTGAATTGTAAGAAGTATGTAATTAAAACGAGATCCAGAGCACATTAACATTCATCTGGCTGTTAAGATCATTTTATAAAATATGCCCTGCTGGTGTGGCTCAGTGGTTGAGTGACGACCTATGAACCAGGAGGTCCCGGTATGATTTCAGGTCTGGGCACACGATGGGGGCTGATCCACAGTGTGGGGCCTAGTTCTATTTCACTCATGTTTCTATCTCTCTTCCTCTGCCTTCCTCTCTGAAATCAATAAAAAGGTATATATTTTTAAAAGAATGCTTTATAGAGCGTTATACACAATCTTCAACTCCTTTTAAGGCAAATTAGAAGCCACTCGAAATACAGATTTTTATCATTCTGAGATTGTGAAAAATGTGTTTATTTTCTCCAAGTAAAACTTCCCGTTGGGCATTTTTTTTGTTGAGATTTGTTTTGAAAGAGAAGTTATAGTAAAATGAAAATATGAATCTTTCAATGGATACAAATGAGAAAAATCTAAATCTACACAGAAGATACCCAATATATATTTAATGGTGAAACTCATTACTGGGTAAACTACAATGGCATGTTATTCATTTAAAATGTTCATATATTATAGAAAACAGAAAACCCCAATGCTAATGAAAACGATACACCTGCAAATTCTTTAAGTTACTGATATTTGAAAATTCACCTCCACTCACCTGTCATTTGGTTTTTGGTTTTTTTAACCTGTCATTTGGACTGCAGTATAAGATTGTCTTCCCTTAGCGGCTAAGCGGCTTAGCCGAAACCGGTTTGGCTCAGTGGATAGAGCGTTGGCCTATGGACTGAAAGGTCCCAGGTTCGATTCTGGTCAGGGGCATGTACCTTGGTTGCGGGCACATCCCCGGTAGGGGGTGTGCAGGAGGCAGCTGGTCGATGTTTCTCTCTTATCGACATTTCTAGCTCTCTATCTCTCTCCCTTCCTCTCTGTAAAAAAAATCAATAAAAAATATATTTAAAAAAAGAAGATTGCTTTCCCTTGACAAATATCTCAGTAAACTTTTGTATTTTTCCTTTGAAGTGAATATTACCCCCATATTACAGGAGTTCAAGAAGTTGAATAATTTTCATGAGGTGACAGAAAATAGCAGATAGAGAAAATAGCAAATAGAAAAACCTTTTCTGTGGGCATTTTACCATGTTTCTTTGTACTGTTTGTTTTCCCATTTTCTAGAAAGTACATTGTTACTTCTTTGAGGATAAAGAGTGTGGTGTTTTTGTCCGCCCTCCCCCCCACCCCCATCCTTTTCACTAGTACAGTGCCCTGCACACAGAAAATACGTACCCAATAAATATTTAATGTTGGTGAAACTCATTACTGGGCAATCGGCTACAATGGCATGTTAAATAAAGCATAGAGTTTTATATGCACAGAAGAGATCAATATTCTAACCTAGGTGATTCACACCAATAATTTTATTGAATAAAATGGAATAAGTTCTGGAGAAATATCAGGGGCTTTCTTCTCAAATTCCTAGGTAAATTATAGGAATGTAGGCTTGACGGTCACTGGAGCTCTGGTAATAAAGGGCATGGCATTTGTTTTTTCTGATTATCTGCTGTAGAGATTAAAGAGAGGACCAATTCTGTACGATTGTTGATTAAGAATTTATTGACAAAGCATCCGTTTTAGAAAGTATTTAATTCACGTTTGAATTGTTTCAGCACTCAGATAGAGGGCCTCCTTGGACCACCAAGAAGGCTCTTTGTAACTGGTTGCTGGCTCGCTGAGTAATGGTTACGTGAATAAGGGAAAATACCTTGTTTTGGCCAAAATAGATGACAAAATGTTTGTTTAATGTTGAGTTTAACCTTTTCTTAGCTTTAAGTCCTATTGAATTGTTGCATAAAGAGACTGCATTATCGTAGTTTTTTGTTTTTTTTTTCATTTCTGAACACCAGAATCCATGCTTATATCCAGAACACTATACTACAAATGGCAGTTTTCTATTTATGACAAAATATACTGGGTGTCCCCCCAAAAAAATGTATATTCATTTCAAGAGCTGATAGCTCAATTTTGAAAATGAAATGTATTTTAATAAACACTGCCTTTATTCAAAGTATGTGTGTATATTTTTTGGAACAACCTATATAATAAATAGTGAAATTGTTTTTTCTCATGAAATTCTAGTTACTAATGAAAGGATAAAATAACATCCGGACTCACCACAACTAATTTAGAAATAATATTGGGGGATTAGATTTTTCCCCCCTTCCTGGTGATGTAGTAATTTAAACTCAGATGCTGTAGAATGATTCAATTCCCCGTCAGAGGAACACTCGAGTTTGGAAAGGAGCTTGATTGAATGAAAGAATACTGAAGTGAGAGCCAGATGATCTGATTTATAGAATACTTTACTACTAATATCTGGATGAACTTCAGAAACGATTTATGCTCACTAGTACTCTGTCTTTCAAATGAAGGAAATGGATTGGAAAACACCAGTACATATTTATTTGTATAGAGAAGTCATTCTCTTTGTTTTATATATGCATACTGTACATGTCTTGTTCAATTTCTGAGAGCAGCATCCTCCTATATAATAAAAGCGCAGTATGCAAATTGTCCCCTCCGCCGGGAGTTCGACCAGGGGGCGGGGCAGGGAAGGGAGGGAATACCAGGCGAGCAGCCAGCAGCCACTAGGGACCCTATCAGCGGGGCCTCTAGTATTAATATAAATCTAACACCGTCATGATCTGCTTTAGCCCGGTCTGAGCCCCCACAATGGTATAAGGTCCAGAATCATTTGTCTTTGACATTTCTTAGGACGGGCTCTCCTTTTCACTCTATCCATGAATGGCTTGTTGATTCCTTCTTTAGTTTTTTTTTTTTTTTTTTTTTTAATATATTTTATTGATTTTGTACAGAGAGGAAAGGAGAGAGTCAGAAACATCAATGAGAGAGAGTCATTGATCAGCTGCCTCTTGCACACCCCCTACTGGGGACATGCCCGCAACCAAGGTACATGCCCTTGACCGGAATCGAACCCGGAACCCTTCAGTCCCCAAGCCGAAGCTCTATCCATTGAGCCAAACCAGTCTCGGCGATTCCTTCTTTAGTTTTGGTTAAAGCGTTTCCTTAAGTGGGGAAAGAAGAAGGCTATATCTCCCTTCTTTAATTCTTGATGGAGGGGTGTAGATTTTATAACTTTTTGAGGGAAGACTACATATACGTAGGGCCTGAATATCTCAATGTTTCAGTGTTTCTTTGCTTTCTCCTGTGGAGTATTTAGGAACTCATCCTTCCTGGAAGTAAAGTGATGGTATCAAGGCTTAAGACAAGAAAGAGGTAAACACACACACACACACACACACACACACACACACACATGAGAGAGGAGTTTAAATTATACTTGTTTTATAAATGTGCCCTGATGGGGGCTGAGATCGAACCTGCAATCCAGGTACATGCCCTTGACCAGGAATCAAACCCAAGACTCTTTGATGCTCAAGCAGCCACTCTAACCACTTAACCCCGTTAGGGCTCTGTGAATATTTAATGCCGCTGTTTTTTAGTTGAGTTAAAACATCAAAATTGAGTGACACTTAACTTTCACAAAGTCATTTCTCTATGTGGTTCTTAGAGGAAAGTGTCTCGGTCACCTATATAGACATCTAGTTCCTGACACTGGTTGCTAGAGGTTATTCTTTCAACAAGTACTTATTGGATACCTACTATGTGCTAGCCATGGAAATACAACATTAAACAAAACAGACAGAATTCCTAATCTCATGGAGCTTACAATCTAGTGAGGCCATTCAGACAAACAAAATAAGTAAATGTTATGGTAATTAGGTGGTGATAAATCCTGTAGAGAAAAACAAAACATGTTTAAAGAAGGGAAGGCAGGAGTATTGGAATGTGTAAGG